AAGTACTTTTAGAAAATTGCCTCTTAGCAACGTTTCTATACAATTAAATTTTTAAAATCACATTTCGAACAAACAAAATAAAAACGATAAACTCATTCCAACATTTTAAATGCGTTGTAAAGCAACAGCTACTAGACCTCAACATTAATGAAACAATCTCTTATTTTTTAATTTTTTTTTCCAAATTTTAAATTTTTCCTATTTCAATTTAAGTCTTCACTTTTTCTTGAATTTCTATTATATTACTTACTTCGTTATTTAATGATGTTCATTGTAAAAAATAAAAAATCATATGTATTATAAATATTTTATTATATTTGGTTTATATTTTGTCAACGACAAAAATGCGGCAAGATGATAAGACTATTGTCTATTACTTACTCCAGTCATATATTTCACGGTAAAATGTAGTACAAATTTATATTAATAATGACGAATATATATATTAAAAAAAAACAAAAATAAAAAAAAATAACCATAGTGACCCAAAATAATTAAAAAGTTTATGTTTTAGAACTTTTTTTTTTTTTTTTCTTATATTTTTTTCCTCGTGAAACTTCTGTCAAATTTTCACTTTATTTAAAAAATCCAACATAGTTGCTTATTTAATGCTGAAGCACCTTAAAAATCATTTAAAAAAAGTACTTCAATTATTTAAATAAAGATTTAAAAATACTACAGATCTTATATTATCATAAAATAAAATACTTAAGTTAAAAAAAAATCCAATTTTAAAAAAACAAAATTATAATTCAATATCATAAATAATTGGAGTAAATTACATAATAATTTAGCTATATTTGAATTGCAAATTGTCAAAACTTCTAAAAAATTCCCGCCAATTTAAGTTTTTTAATTATTTTTATATAAAATTAAATACTTTTAAAAGTTTTCATTAGATTACACTGAATTATCGTTTTAGTTATGTTTAGTTTTAGTATGCGAACTAATTAATTAAAATTCTTTCTTTTAAGTAAAAACTTTAGTAATAATAATTGAAAAAATCAAAGTGTATACTTTGCTTTCAATAAACCCTTCTTATATTAAGGTAATAAACTTTTTCGAATGGGTTTTGCATAGGTTCTTTTGATAAAATATCCAAAATTTCCCGCTTTTTAGAATTACTTTAGGCGCTCAAAAAAATTCGATTTTTCAATCGAATTTGCAACATTTCTAAAGGTAAAAAAATTTGTGCTTAAAACCATTCATCAAAGAAAAAAAGGAAAAAGAGGAAGAAAAAAAGTAAATTTGCATTCATTTAAATTCCATTTATTTGACATTAAAAAAAATTAATTTACATTAATTGATTACATTGCAAAATTATTTTTTACTAACATTACAAAATTTATATACACTAAAATTAATTTAAAGAACATTTTATTTTTGAATAGAATTTTTTCAAACAAATATATGCATTAAAAATACCATTTTTATAATTTTTTATTTAACTATTTTTACATTTGTTTACATGATAAATTAATAGGCGTGCTTTAAGCCAAACTACTTAACAGTACTTTTTTTTACAAATTTTTTGAGCTTATTTTAGTCATTAGCTTAGTGACTTTGAGCTTATTTTAGTCATTAGCTTATTCAGTCATTATTTTTTTGGTATTACTTATTCACTAATACTTAAGGGTAGTTCGCTTTCATTTTGCCTCCTCGTATAGCATTATGCTATACGCTTTTTTGACCTCAGCTTCCCTAGAAGTACCTCCGCTTTTAACCCACCCACCTAACATTTTATGATATTTTTTTAAATTTAGTGTCTCCTTACTTTTATAATTGACCCAATGCCCCCCCCCCCATCTCATATACGCCATTTGCAAACCCTATCTTCCCCTCTGAGCGTACGTACTTTATGAACGATCTCTTATTCATATTTTTGGTAATACTAAAAATATGTAAAAAAAAAAAAAAAAAAAAAAAAAAGGTGAGAATCCTCTTTTTAACGGTTTAATTAAGGGTCAAAATATACAATAGGGTTGTGATCATAATTCTTTATTAATTAATTGCCGGGACAACACCAGACATTAGACGAGCTTCTACTATTATCAAAGAAATAGACTTGGATTCATTTAGAATAAAATTTTGCTAAAAATAACATTAAAATATTGCGCTTTCAAAATAGCGATAAAAGGACTGATAATTCTGCTAAAAAATAAAGACATAAATCTGCTGAAAAGTTTTTCATATTCCACGTATTATATAGGAATGGCAACTTGTTTGCCGCTGACGCATTTCTCCTGATTTTTTTCAACGCATTTATAAAAATTTATATGGATAAACAAGATAAGTCATATGACTAAAAAAGACTAGTATCATAATCTAGCCATTAAATAGTAACACGGCAGTCCAGTCACATATCTATTTTTAATTCGACAGATATTTAAAAAAGTTAGTATATTTAAGTTGTACATTTTCTCGAAGTTTGTCTTTAAGTTTATATTTCTGAACTCCTAAAAAAACAAAAAGCAATATCAATAACATGTTCAGCACTATAATACAATAAGTAGTGGAGAAGCAAGAAAGTCTCAATACAATTAATCAATAGCCTCAAATATTAACATTTAACTTATAAAAAGAAGCAACGAAGCAAAATTAGGAAAACATTTTATTGCAAAAGTTTGTCTTTTAGTTTTATTAAAAATAATATCTTAAAAAACGATGATTACTTATATAATTTAATCAAAACTAATAGCAAAAGTAAAAACATTTAAAAATGATCTGTACAATGATAAAAACAAATTAATAAAATAATGAAGAGTTTAATATCGTTGGTATACAAAGGAAATGTCCAAAAACATTTTTGATATAATGAAAAAAAAAATTAATAATTGATTTATTAAATTAGTCAAACGATAGAAAATTTTAAATACTAAACAGTGTTATAACTTTATACTCCCTAAAATGGACAAACCGATTACTCAAGGTAACTTATTAAATAAGGAGGTAATAAACTAAACATGATAAGTTAATTTGATCTTAAAGTCAGAAAAAATACATTTATGATTATAACAATATACTAAACAGTGTTTAGTTTTTACTAATGATTTAAAACATTCTAAAGTAAAGAAAAAGGTAGCATTATAAAAATAATACTTCTTGTTGTTCCGTTTTGATTGCCTCAAATTGACTAATGTTAGCAAATGTTGACGTTGGGTTTCTCTTAATCAATTAAAAAAAAAAAGTAAACTTGTTTCTCTAAAGTTACAATTAAATATCATTTTATGATAATACGCAACATACTAAGGAATAAGAGGCCATCCATAAAGGACATCACAATTTTTTAGCTAATTTATGACCCCCTCTTCCCCTTTGTCAATGGTTGTCCTTTTCCCCTATACCCTCTTTGAAAAGGACGTCATAAAATCCTGACCTATTTTTAACCCCCAAAATAATTATTTCGTCTCGCTGATGTTTTAATCTAAAACAACACCTTTGAAAAATAAAATTGAAAATATTTTCAGACATTATCTTTATAAAACACATGTTTACGTAGTTTTCCATGTTATTCAAACTTAACTAAGAAATCTATAAAGTGACGTCCTCTTCTGACAATTGCCCCTCTATTCTTGTCCTTTTTATCTCGACCCCTCCCCCCTACTTGGATGACGTTCTTTAGGGAAGGCCCCTAAACAACATTTAAAGAATAAAATAAATAGGACATACTAAGAAATAAAATAAGAAAACATTGCGTGAGCATAGGTTATTTGGTAAATATCACGTATTATTCGTACAGCAAATAATACGTGATCAAAAAAAAAAAAAAAAAAATCACAAATCTTTATATAACCCAATAAAACTTACGGTACTTAGAGAAAAAAATTAACTAAAACACTCCCCGCGCAAAAACTTCATAAATACTTGAAACATATTCGACGTGAATAGAGTAGCATATTCAAACATAACGCTAAAGACTTCGTGAATAAATTAGGCATTATTTAACACTATTAAATATAGCAATGCAGTGTTTTTATTTATAAATAAAAAATTTTAAATTAAACAACTCATTCATTCCATAAATAAATACAATTGTTCTTAATTTACAAAATATACAAATTAAACATAAATTTCAAGATTTAAGTTTTTATTTCTTTATGAAAAAATAATTTACTTTGCTGTATTGTATAACCGTTACTATATTTTATAAAAAAATATTTATTTATATAATTTTTTTATAAGCTAATTTTTTCAACTTAATATAATGTAAATAACTGAAGATCTATCACTGAAAGTATTTTATGAAGGATTAAATAACTTAAAAAACAATACTGAAAAATTGGTAAGCTCGATAAAAACTGAAACAAGTCATGAAAAAAAAAAAAAAAAAATACAGTTTTTAAAAGAAAAATTATATTTTTTTTAAAAGAAAAAACATTTGAATAAATAAATAAACAACGAAAAACAAAAAGCCCAAGGTTTTTTTGCATAAAACATGAAAATCATTTTTTTCGTTAACTTGCGAAGATGCAATATAAACTGCAATTTAAAAAATAGATACGAACCTCAAGCTTTACTAATGCTCCAATCTTTTAAACTAATAATAAAAAGAAATATTTATTCAAAAATTTTTTAAATTATTAAACGTTTCTATTAGCATTAAGCTAGTATAAAACTTAACATTTCTACATAAAATTAACATAGAATTTCAAAATATTAAACATAAAACTTAAACGATTCAAACGATAATTTAAGATTAAACAATACTTGAATATAGAGTATGATACTTATAAGTTAGTTGTAATTGATGTAAAAGACTTCCAATTTATGGAATTCGTAAAGTTAAAAATAAAAAGTGTATTTTACAGAATCGCAACTAAAAGGCTGTTTATATGAAGCGGGCTGAAATCCAGTACAGGCTCAGAATAGGCAGCGATATGCGCAATCTGATTAGTTGATTTTAAAAGAGAGGCATGTGCACGTTAGTTAAATTAAAACAAATGTCAAAAAGCGTATTGAATGCTTGCAAAAAAAAAAAATCGCATAAAAAAATCAAATAATAATAACCGAAAATTTGATTTTTCTATCAAATTTTGTAGATTAAAGTAGTTATATTTTTACAAAATTTTACAAATCAAAACATCCGTGTTTTTCAAAATAATATCTTGAGAAGGGTTTTGGAAAAGTTGTTTATTTTTTTAACGGTTTTGATAACTTTGATAAGATATAATTAACGGTTTTAACAACTTTGATAATCGTACACTAAAAGAAAAAATTCGTTTTAATAACTGGAAAATGTGCATCTAAGTAATTTTTTTTCCACATTTTTTTGTCTCAAAAAGTTAAGTTAACTTAACTTCCTTATTTAACTATTCTTTACTTAATTAAGTTAACTTAACTTCCTTGTTTAGTTACTTTTTTAATGTGGTTTTACTTATTACATATTATTTTTGTTATAATTATTCTTTATCTTATTTACTTTTACTTTATTTATACAAATGTTACTATACTAGGTTTCAACTTTCAATTCTGTTATAAATTCATGTGTGTGTACATTTCAATTCCAGCAACTTGTTGTAGATTATTTAAAGATAAACAAACATTAAAACATAATAAAACAATTATTAAATTTAAATGATATACCATAATACAAAATATATATATATTTTTTACTAATAACCCTGTAAGAAACATTTGTTGCTAGTTCTTTATTTCTAAATTACTAATAAAAATTATGTTTTTTTATTAGCTCTACATATCAATGTATTAAACAAAAATCAAATGCGCTACAAAAGATAACCTTACCTGCTAAATGAAAGATTCTAAAATTTTAACACACATCAATAGTTGTACAATTTTAACGCACATCAAGAATAAAAGAGAATAAAAGAATAAAAAGTCTCTCACCTTTTTATTAAATAATAATAGACACGTTAAAAGTATTAATATTAGAATTTAAATTTGATACCTCACGTCTGAATGCTACAAGTCTAGAGTAGCAAGTTCTATACAAATATAAACAAGCAATATATAGACTTAGTTGTAACTAACATAAAAAAATTATAAGTAAAAAATAAATATTTTTACAACTATATAAACTTACAGTGTTATATAGCATGAAACGTGTCTAAAATAGCAAATTATAAAACTTAAGTATACAAATTATAACAACTCATATATAAACTTTGCTATAACTAGCCTAAACAAATACCTATAAAAAAAAAAACAATTAAACATTTTACAACTGATTTATTTGACAACTGATTAAACTTAGTGTGTGGAATTGCATGCCACGTGTATACTTAAATTGCAAATTATAAAAGTATACTAAAAAAAATTAAAACATCATATAAAAATAATTAAAAATATATTCAAAGCAATCCGTTGCTTTTCCAAACGGGTTGTTTTTAGAGAGTAAAAAAGAATATTACCATTGTAACAAACTATAAAACAGATAATGAAGTTTGACTATGCTGCGATTCTCATGCGAAAAATTTTTTAAAACAATTTTATAATTTAATAAAATAAATAGAATATTAGTAACTTGGCATAATTTTTTTTCACATTAAGTTCCCATTCAGTTCTATCATTCAGCTAGAAAAATATAAAAATAAAATTACCTTATAGCTTTTCAGAACTTTGTCTTAATTACTTCCATAAATAAATTATATGCATTACTAAAAATTTATAATTTTAAGAAGATTGCTTGTTGGTTGTTATAGCTACTCTAGAAAAACTGCAATAATGATAATGATACCTCAGATAATGTTACTTTAACAAGTAAATATTTTTACTAATCTTGAAGGCTGCAACCTAATCCATTTTAGGTTAAACAAAAACACATAGCATTACATTTGGCTCAGTTCTGTTTTCTAATAATTCTATTGTCTTTTCATCATTACGCTTTTTCAATAAATTTGTTTAATTTTTATCACTTAGTTTGGTTTTTTTAAATTAATTTTTTTTTCAATTATTACAATACAAAAAATTGCTGCAACCATTTGCATTTTTTTGATGCCAAAACCCATCAATAACTCTTTTTGCTTGTAATGTCAGTGTTTATATGTAATTGTACAAAAAATTACTATTCAGAAGGAAAACATAAATTTTACTTCTTTTAATAAATTTGTAATTCGAGTGTCAATATTCAATAGTCATCTTTTTTATATAAGTAAATGTAGCCTTAAATCTTCACAAAGTGCTTAATCGTTTAAGGATATCTATTAGAGTTATGTAATAAAAAAGATATCAGTTTCATCAAATTTAATGTTGAAACAAAATATGAAAAAAAAATCTTCTTAGAAATCATATATTCACATGGAACATGCAAGCTAGTTTTGCAATCAGTAGAAAATTTCTGTTTGAAAAAACTCTAATGTTCAACACTTTATAATCAATAAGTATAAATAAAGTTCTTCAACAGTAGTCTGGTAACACTGTATATAAACTTAATATTTGAGTATGCTTCAAGGCCAAGGACATTATATTTTATGAGAAACACATAGATTTCACCAGATAAATTTTATTGAAATTTTGAGACAAATGAAAATTCTCTTGTTCAAACAGATTATGATACCGCTTAAATGCTCTGAAGAGAACTAAAATAAATAAAAAACGAGACTTGTACTGATATACTCATTTCTTTGAAATTTATTTTTTAAATCTGCTTGTTTTGATTTTAATTGTACTTGTCATTTTTTCAAAATCAGCAAATCAAATTATTTCTGCTTATTTTGAGCATGTTTAGGGTTTCAAAATACGCATGCTGGCTGACTAAAAAAAATGTTAACTAAAAAATTTAACACTTTTACTTATTTATTTATAAAAAAATTTATTATTACCCAACTAAATAGACTAAAAGTTGATTTAGTTGGGTAATAATATTTTTATCTAATTTTTATATATTTGATTTTTTTATTTAAATTAAGAGAGTTAAATCAAATAAAAAGATAAAAATATATAAAATAATAGATAAAAAGAAACTCTTGAGTCTTTGATACAAGGGGGTGTTGGAACATTTAAAAATTACCAAATCCCAAAATATAATTAAGTTTATTAAAATAGGAGAAACTTAGCTTTTTTTTTTAAACATCTACCTTAACATGTTTAAAAAAAAATAATTTTAAGATGTTTCACTGATTGAAAATATTTTAAATTGAATATGTTTTTTTATTTCTTTAGCTATTTGGATTGTGTATCAGCTGCCTGATCAGCAAACTAATTTATCAATACAGCTAACTTTGAATAGTTTGTACCTGAAAAAAATGAGTTTTTTTACTTTTAAAATTAGCGAGTTGGAAAAAAAAGTGCAACACCTGGAGATCCCAGAACTATCAATTAACTTTGACCAGCTAATTGGTGAAGGCAGCGCTGCAAAAGTATATCAATCAACAATAAGAAAACAACAGTTAGCAGTGAAAGTTTTCAAGACACAGTTTTCAAAAAAACGAGTTTTTACAGTCTGTGAAGAGCTTAGACAAATTCAGCATAAAAATATTGTTAACTTTATTGGATACAGTGTTCGACCATCAGCTCTGTGTTTTGAAATATGCTGTGTTCATGTTCATGACACTTTTGTCTATTCTCTAAAAGAATTAATAAATATTTTTAATGACAATGACTACTTTAATTTAAATGAAAGAGTATCGTATTTAACACAAGCTTGCGAAGGAATAATGTATCTCCATGAAAAAAACATTATTCACGGAGACATTAAGCCCACCAACATGTTGGTCTGTGGTTCCATTCAAAATTTGATAATAAAAATATCAGATTTTGGCGACATGACAACAATAAAGAATACAGTTACATGCACTACTAATAACTACTTAAAAGGAATAACAATTTGCTATGTAGCACCAGAGCTTTTACACCAAAATAAAAATAAACTTTCAGTGTTTACTGACATTTATGCTTTTTCTATTTCAAGTTTTGAAATTTTGTCAAACCTATGTTCACCATGGGAAAAAAAACTTCCTATAATCAATGATGTTTTTCTCCTCCAAGCAATAAAAAACAATGAAAGACCAGATGCTTGTACACTCAATTTTCTTTACAAAAACAATGAAAAAGATATTAAAAAAATAACAAAAGCAATCAAATTAGGCTGGAAATCATTACCAGAAGAAAGATTATCAATGAAAAATGTAAATAACTGTTTTAATTTGTAACTATTGAAATATTTTTATCTGTTAAAGAATTTCAATAGACTTTCTAGACTAAGATTAAAAAAGAAAAATAGACTAAGATTAAAAAAGAAAAATAGATTAAGATTAAAAAAGAAACCCATTCCATTTCCTAAGAGTTGTACAATAAAATTTACAAAATAAGAACGTTATAATTAAGATTATGACATGAAATTATTATTCTAAAAGAAAATAAAAAAAAGTAACAAATAGTAAACTCTTAGGAAGCAATTAGGCTAATACTACTGTGATTTCACAGACATACTTGACATTTGTGATCCCACAACAGTTAAAAATTGGAAACCTAAAATTCCTATAAGCACTTATACACATAATATAATTTATAGCATTATATTAATAAAATATAATTAAATTACATTTTATAATAAAATTTTAATTTAACTAATTAAAAAAATAACTTAAAAATATTAATATATAGGTTGCAAATAAATGTATTTAATATTTTAGCTGTTAAAAGCGTTTCATTCAATAAATGAAAAGAGAAGTGAATTAATCAGTGTAAGTACTTTTTGTTGAATTTGCTAAAAACTATAAAATAACTAAATAATAAAAATAATAAATCTATGAATATAAAAACCATGGAATATTGACAAGGTGAAGTAAAAACTTAACACTATTTTTATTGTAGTAATTTATGTCATTCTATCCAATTAGGGTTGCTGTTTGGGCAGGTTATTGTGAGAGGGAAGACCACTCAACTAAAAACAAAACATTTCATACATCTGTATCAAAACTTCTGTTTTTTTTTATTTTACCAATTTGAATATATGATGTTATCATAAAAAATTAACTCAAAACATAAATAGAAACTTTTATAAGCTTATTTTTTTTAATTCAAAAGTTTACATTTTAAAAACAAATTTAATAAACTTAAGCTTTTAAGCATAAAAACTCATTTTTGTTGTTTATTGATCTAAAATTTATCAAATAAAATTTTATCCACTAAAACTAAACAAATTTGTTTTTTATAATAACTTACTTCATGTATAATTTAATAATTTATGCCATTTCAAAATATACTAACCCACCTTTATTTTTATTTACACACAAAATAACTTGGTCCTAAAGACATACCTTTAAACCACATTTGAAGCAACAAATGCAAAGAAATGCTTTTTATTTGTCTAAAAAAATAAATTTAATAGTTTAATTCTAAAAAAAATATTAATATAAAAGTATAGACACTATATTTACAACAATAACTCAAAAAAACTCAATTACAGAAAAGACGTCTTTCTCCAATCGAAACTGCAAAAAGCTATATAGAAATGGAAAAAGACCCAGAAAATTTATACAAAAAACAAATAGACAAAACAAAAGGTAAATAGAGTATTACTTTTATTAATATGTGTTTCAATTTATCATAAAATTGCATAACTTGATAATTTTCCAATGTTTTTTAAGTTATAATTTGGATGATTTAAGCTAATTTATACAATGAAGGACATGCTTTATCAAATTGTTTTGATATAGCAAAATGATATAGCTATATCAAAACGAAGTGGCTATTTGTGATAGCGCACTTATATATATTTACATTATATAAATATATATAAAATAAAATCACAAAGATGTTCCAATAAAATCAAACAAAAGTCCTAAAGGTGTCCCAATAAAATGTACGGTCATGTTTTCCAAATTATATTATGTAAAGAGCTGCTAAAATTTCTTTAAATCTTAGTCATTTTAAAATATAGGTTTTGGCGTCTTTTCTTTTGAAAAAATTCAAAAAGGTCAGTTCATTGCTCAATATAGGGGAGACTTAGTGCCAAAAAAGGAAATGAATAATAAAATAAAATATTACGAAAAAACAAACGCTGGTAGCTACGTTTACGACTTTATACACAATAATATTGAATACAGGTAACTATAAATTTTATTTTAATAATACTGTGTTAAAAAAACTGATTGTAAATACTTTGCTGAAATTGTTTAGTATTGATGCCACATTTCATTTGAATTATATTGGTCGTTACATTAATGATTCTAAATATTTTCCAAATGCTGTGATGAAAAAAGTTTTAGTCAACAACACTCCATCTTTATGCTTGTTTGCATTAAAAGACATTGAGCCAAATGAAGAAATACTGTATTTCTATGGTGTTGATAATTTATCATGGCATCCTGAGGTAAAATTTTTAAAATAAATTTTTAAAGTTATATTTAACTTTTTTTGACATCTACTTAAATCTTTACAGGAGTTTAAAAGAAAACATCAAAAAGGAAATAAATCAAAGGTAAACCACTATGTAAAAATGATGTGTAAAATTGCAAAAAATATATCTTAAAATAGACTAAAAATTTAATTCCTGAAGTTATTTTTCTGTCTCAAAAGAGCACAAAACCTGTTTTATATGTTTATAAAATATATTAACAAGTTTTAAAACACGTTTTATGTCTTAAACATGTTTAAGGTTTTTCAGGGTTAGGGTTAGGGCCAGGGTTTTCAGGGTTAAGGTCATTTCCCCCCCCCCCCCTAATCTAATCACTATAAACAAAGCTGCAAGAAACCACTATTAAGTTGGAGTTACATTTAAATCAAAGATTGTAGTTAAAGAGCCAGATAACAGTTGACAGAGGACCCTCACAATTGCTTAAGTTTTATTATTATTATTTTTTTATCTCCCAAAAATCTAAGGGTCACTATTGTCAAATAGGCTACTCTTTTTTTTTTTTAATACTGTGTACCAAAACTAAAAATATATTTGAACAGGATAATAATAAGAATATAATAAGAAAATATAATATAATAAGAATATAATAAGAAAATATAATATAATAAGAATATAATAAGAAAATATAATACAATAAGAATATAACAAGAAAATAACAAAAATATAATAAGAAAATGTATTTGAACAAGATCTCTGCATAATATATAAGATCAGATTTAGAAAAAAAACACAAGAGTTAATGATGTTTTTTTTTTTAGATTTTGTGTCCTTTTTTCAAGAAACAGTTCTTGATAAATTCTTGACTTGAATTTTTTGTTTTGTTTTGGTAGACTTTTTAGTTAAAAAAATAATAAGTATGTAATAATATTCAAAACTAGGACCAAGATAGTTCTTCAAAAAACATAACTTTGGTTGAAGAAATCAAAAAAGGTATTGTTTAAATATTTTTTACAAATATTTTGAAGTTTTTACTAGAAATTAATAAAACAAAAAACAACACTCTGAAAGACATTTGACATCAAAATAAGATTGAACAATTGACAATAAAGTGAGTTTGAAAAAAAGATCTAATTTCAAAATATGTATTAATCTTTTTTATTTAATTACACAGATTTAGGTATTGAAAAAAACATTCCAGTGAAAGAGATATTACCTGCATCGCCAATTACAGAGGTGGGTGTATATTATAACATAGATAACAAAATAATGAAACTGTTTTATTTATTTTCACATTAATTTAATTTTATCTTTTAAACAAAACCACATTTTGTTTATATTTGAGTATTCAAAGAGAATGCATTTTGTTTATATTTTTTTGGTGCTCTTCTTTAAATTTTTGCATTGAAAATGCAAAAAATTAAAAGAAGAGCACTAAAAAACATTTATTCTAGCAATAAACAAGTATTAAATTTTTATAAATTTCAAACATTACATGTAAATAAAAGCTTTCTTTTCATCAAAATATATAAAAATAAACATTTATAAATAAACATAAATATTTAGACTCACATTTGTTCTTCTATAACAAAGGACACTGAATTAGATGACAAAGCCCAACTAGGTATTGTTTAAAAAACTTACTTTTAATGTAGCAATTTTTTTTATGGTTTAAGACAAATTTTTGACTTGACAGATTTGCATTACATAAATTTAAAAAAAATACAATTACTTTTTAACAAGCTAGAAATGTTTCCAAAAAACTAGTTATAATGAGGGTTATAATGGTATTTAAGTTTTGCTGTATTAGACCATTCCTAAATTATTCTGCAATACCTTGTATCATATATAGTTTAAAAAAGGTGCACAAAAAGTTTACATGGACCATGTAAACTTGATAGTTTGTTGTAGAATAGATCAAACCATTTAAATGCTCTCCTGAATAGTTTAGTTTTTGGCAGATACAAGGTTGAATTGCTTTTTAACTCTCGAAATAGATATAATTTTCTAAATATGAGTTGATAAATTCACTTATATAAAAACAAGTAAATGAGTGAATTTATTTTATATAAGAATTTTTACTTTTATTTAACATTTATATAAAAGTTTTTATAGAAAACTGTAACTTTTTTTTTTTACTTTAATGTATGTTATACCTAATAAAAATATGATTTTTTTTACATATTTAGATGATGAAGCAAAACACTTTTTTCTAAAAATTGCTATAGATAACTTAACAAGTTTTGAGGTTTGTGGTTCTATCTTATTAAATTGGAAAATATAAAAATACATGTTTAATTAGAATATATATATATATATACATATTATATTGACATATAGTGTAAGTAAATCACCACAAACTAAATCATTAAAACTATGGTTCATTAAAATGAATTTACAAAAAACAAAAGCTTTTTTTATTTCAAACCTGAAAAATAAAAAATAAGTCATTCCATATTACTTGAAACTTGCAGAAGTGTAAAAAAATCCTATTTAATTTTTGCTTATGTCCACATGTCAATTTTAGAGTTTCTTTATTCTTTTTTTTTTTTTATAAGTTTAGACAATCAAGAGATATTTATTCAAGACTTAAGTAAAAACCAATTATTAGTTTTAATTTAAACTAAAAGCTTTTGTCGAAACCAGCACTGAAACTAAAATATTGCAAGCACTAATTATCTAGTATATCTATTTAAACAGAAAATAAAGAAAGATAAAAAAAAAAAAAAGTAAAAACAATTTTATGTCCATTTATTTCAGCTTTATCATAGTTTTTAAATTTAGGACCCAAATGACAATGAAATATCTAATGATAATATTATTATGAATATAATAATTCTTTTCAGGGGAGACAGTACATGCTAAAAGGAACCCATAAAATGTAAACTTGAAATCCTGCATTAACATCCAAAAATTTTTAGAAGCTTTAAAGCTTTTATAGAAAATTAATTATTGAAAGAGAAAATAAAACTGTATACACACAATATGTGTATATACAGCTTCCCTGAGAAATGTTATAAAATAAAATTTGCAGTGTTTAATTAATCTGACAGATTTCAATGATGACATTAAAACATTTTTTTATGGTTACAGTTTTTAAATTAGCAAACTCTCTAAAAGTAAAACAAAAGCTGTGCATCTTTTCAAGTTTAAATCAATCTTACCAACTCTGCCATTAACTCAGTTGATCATTATGTGATAGGTAAAACAACATCAAATTGATGACAGCAGAACTAAAAAAAAAACAACAAGTAACAAAAAGTTTATTTTTAAATGTTCAGCAAATCCATGAAATGTTAATCTAGGGTTTCAAAATTGCTACCCAAATACTCAAGAATAGAGTTTTCATAAGATTCTTCATTGATATTAGGGTCCCAAATTTACTTATCCTGTTATCTTCAACAAAATGCCTATTTATTATTATTAGGTAAATATGCATTTACCTAAGTAAATGCATATTTACCTATATTTATATATATATATATATATATATATATATATATATATATATATATATATATATATATATATATATACAATATATGTGTGTGTGTTTGTGTATAGGCTTGTTCTTCTACTATACAAAATAATGCACCATATAGTGAATCAGCAGAAGGTATATCTTTAAAAAAAACTTTTATAGAAAAAAAGTTTATGAATAAACTATAATTGTTTAAAGCATAATTGAATAAAGCATAAACAATTGAATAAAGCATAATTGTTTTCTGAAATTGTTTTACAGATTTAAACATCGATTTTTGTGTGGAATCTAACTCGTCACTTCACAATACAAGTTTAGAGGTTTAAGTTTGTTTTGATTGAAATACAAAAAAATATAATATCAATATAATAGTGGAGTAGTGGTCAAGCCCTTGCTTTGCAATGAAATTCGAATTTTGATTTTTACTATATCACTGGTAATACTAAAACAATTTCTTGTTAATCAAGAAAAAAAAATTTAACTTTTTTTAATTTATAATTTAATACAATTTATATGATGTTTTATTATAAAACTAAAATCTTTTTTTTTTTAAATTTTGTTCAATAAAATAAAAACAAAATCGAAGTTAAATAAAATTAAATAATGTAAAAATACTTAAGTATTTATGTTCAGATATAATCAGATATAAATACTTAAGTATTTATGTCCGATAAAAATCTAAAGAAAAGCGATCACAAGAAATATTTATTCTTATAAAAAACATTTGAGCTCAAAAAATTAAAATTGGAAAAGAAAAATATATTTAAAAACTAAAATTTGAAAAGGAAATATATTACGTTTTTTAAAAAATACCATACTATGTGAAATGCTTTGTAAATTATTATAAATAATTAATATAAATTATTAGTTTAACAACATAGAACGAAGCAAATAAATAAAATTGTTCTAATTAATAAATTAAAAAATCATCGTCATAAAACTTAATAAATCAAAAACTATCGTCAAAAACTAAAGTACCACATTTTTTATAATTTATTGTTTCTTTATCTAGAGGACTAATAAAAATTTAAGTATAATTAAGTTTTTCATTCAAATGGTTTTTAAGTTGATATTTTCATTCAATTTATCTATTCAAATTGTTTTTCAATAAAAAATGAAACAAAAAAATTTAGTTTAATAAATTGAATTATACTCCAGTTTAAAAATATGCTTAAAAACGTTAAAGCAAAAAGTTGCTGGTTTCTATTAGCAATTATTACTATTAGAAAAAATTAAAAAATAAAAAGCAATTATTATATTTTTTAATATACTTAAAGTAGTAAAACTATTAATATAAAATTGTTGATGAAATAATAATTTAAATTATTAATAATGAGTTAATTTGAAACAAAGATAAAAACCAGACTGTTTTGTTAAAAAAAAAGAATGAAGAAAAAATTGGCTTTAACATCTTTTCCTTTTTTAACTTTTTGCTTTAACGACCTTTTGAATATTATTGACTTCCATGCAAAGATTTAAAGTAATTTAAGTTCAAAAATGTTTTATGTTAAAAGAAATTCTCCATGCGAAAGAGCAAATTATCATCTATTTATCTATCTATTCAGAAGATAAATTTAGCGTGATGTTCTTTATGACAAAAACATTACTTTTAAAACTTGCTAAAAAAAATGCTAAGCTAGAAAAAAAAGTAAATAAACAAACAAAAAAACAAATCGCAAAAATATTTTTTTTAAGAAAAAACTAATGGCGAAAGTGTGAAAAGCAGTTGCAATTCGTACGCTTAATTCGAGCCCCGGGCCTAATTGGCCAACAGCTGTGTTTTGAAGTTAAAGAGCTGAGAGAGGGTTGTAACAGAATAAAAAAATAAAAAAAACTTAACCTAAAAAAAAAATTTATAGAAAGAATTGGGAAACTCAGCACTACTGGTATACAAAGTATGTTCTCTACCACTACACTACTACTGTATAATATATGAAATCAGTTTAAGATTTAGTTTAAAAACAAAAACAAAAAATGATGTGATTTTTAGATTTTGTATTCTTAATTAACCAAGATAAAATTGTTGATAAATTTTTGTCTCGAAAACAATTTTTTGTAATAAATTAGGATCAAGATTGTTCTTCAAAAAACATAACTTTGGTTGAAGAAATCAAAGAAGGTATAGTTTTAATTTTTTCATATTATTATTATTAGTACTATCCCACACACAAATAATATTAAGTATTATATTGCAAATTAACACTAAAATATTTTAACAAAAACTTGTGTTAAACAAATGAGGTTGATTTGAGGAAGATTGAAACTGAATCAATAAAATGAGTTTGAACTAATGTGGACAAATGAAACTGAATATTAAAAAAGAGTTTGAAAAAAAAAGATCTATTTTCAATATATGTATTATTCTTTTTTATTCAATTAAACAGTTTTAGGTATCGAAAAAAAGATTCCATTTGAAGAAGAATTATCAGTATTGCCAATTACAGAGGTTTGTGTATATTATAATATAGATAACAAAATAATAAAACTGTTTTATTTATTTACATTAATTTTTTTTTATCACTTGCAAGCCTTCCCAGGGAATGTATGGGGTTTGTATGGGGTTTTTTGTCTAGTCAGACCACACATGAGTATTTTAGTTTTGGACAAAAAAACTTGGACAAACTTGGACAAAAAAAAAACAACTTGGACAAAAAAAATTTGTGCAGAAAAAGTTGGAAAAACCAAAAAAGTGAACCTAAAAAAATAAGAAATAAAAAGGAATTTAAGTAGAAAAAAATAAAAAGAAATTAATAATTTAAACAATTTGCAAACTGTTTTTATTTTTGTTTCTTTAGAGTGGTTGTTACATTCAGCAACAAGTTGAATAAGGCAAAGCAAAAAAAAAAAAAAAAAAAAAGTTCCAAGTTTACAATAAAAATAATGATTTTTCTTTATTTAACTTTTTTTTTAAAAGAGGAAAGCAAAAATATAAATTGCAATGTGTTTGTAAAATATATTTGTATAAATTTAATGCAAATTTAAAGCAATCAAATATCAGTCTTAACTTTTTAATCTTTTAGAAACAATGGATTTTTTACTTTTAGCAAATCAAAGAAAAAACCAGTCAACCTAACTTTTCTTGACTTTGCAAACGCATTTAATAAGGTTTTGCTTGTAAGATTGCTGAAAAAGCTTGAAATGTATGGTATAAATCAAAAATATGGTATAAAGCCTTCTTAACAAACTACAAGAAGCATGTTATACTTTGAGATTCAAAATCTGACTGGATTAATGTAACAAGGTTAACAACAAGGGTTAAATTAGGCGATCTTGAAATGCAAATTCTGGAAATACATCAGTTCTTCAAAATTTTAGTTTTTGCAAAACCGTTTTCTTTGTTTTCAAGAGGCAAATCAACTTAAATTTGTTAGCAAAAAAATTATGAAAAATAAAACAATAAACTTACGACTGCAAAAGATAATAACGCTTTAGTAACTAACTGCATTATAAAAGTAATAACACTATAATAGTGTTATTATTTTTATATTGCACTTATAATGTGGCAGGATAGCTCAGCTGGTTAGAGCGTCGTTAAAAGTTAAAAACATGGATTGTTGAACAATACAAGTTCAAATCCCGCCACCGCCAACTCAGCGCTTGAGTATTACAAAAATGTTGGTCAATAGCGGACGCTACTTTGGATTAGTCTTAATGACTATTTGTGGCTGTTCCTATGCTAAGCCAACATTATCTTCGGATATAAGAACATTGTACAGAAAAATATAGCATAAAACTTAAATAAAATAAAATAAATAAATTATAAATATAACTTTTATAATTTATTCTTTGTTGAAACAACATAAGTAATTCCAAATTTTAATTGTAGTAGAAAAGCATCTAGAAAATAGAGTGGATAATTTTGAAAACTACAGTAAATTATAAAAATGTAACAAACAACTACATAAGAACGTAATGTATAAAAAGTTTAGCATTTAAAAAAGCGTTACTATCGGTCTGTAAAAATGTGCGTTAATTTTAAAATTAACCAATAAAGATCTTTTATTATTAGTAACATTTTCTTTAATGCTGAACTTTTTTTTTAATACGTTTTTATAAAGTTATTTAAGTGATTTGTTCCTGAAGTTTTTAATAATATTTATATATCCACTTTAATTTTATTAGATGCTTTTCTACTTTAATTAAAGTTTGGAATTACTAATGTTGTTTGAACAAAGAATGAACTTTAATAGTAATAAGCGCCTAATAAAAGTAATAAAACTATTATAGTTTTATTACTTTTATAATGCAGTTAGACTAGAGTGGTATTACTTTTGAGGTTGTAGGTTTATTGTTTTGTTTTGCTTTTTATAACTTTCTAGCTAACAAACTTATAATAATTTGCTCCTTGAATACAAAGTACACAACATTGCATAAACTAAAATTTTGAAAACCAGATATTTTTCTAGAGTTAGCCAATCGCAATCACTGAATTTTCAACTCTTGATATATACTTGTTACAATTATTATTTTTAATGTTTAAAAGCTTGTTTTTTTTTTTTTGCTTTAAATTTTTTTGCCAAAATAATAACCACTATGAAGAAACAAAAACAAAAACAGTACACAAATTATTTTAAGTATTTTTATTATTATTTTCTATTTAAGTTTATTTTAATTTCATATTTTGCTTTCTTTGCTTTAAAAACTTTTTTCAGCAACGCATGTGATAAAAATTACAAAAGGCCATGACCAATGTCTAAATTAAAATACTTATTCGTGGAAAAACAAGACAAAAAACCACACGTGTTTCCTGATAAGGCTTGACATTAGTAGAACAACATTTTGTTCATGTTTGAGTATGCAAAATTTTAAACAAGAAACTTGAAAAAAAACTCTTGTTGCACAAATATTAATTTTTTATATTATAAAAATAATTTTACTGCAGTATTATTAGTAATTTTTAAACCATATTTAGAAAAAAAATCCTGTGGCCACCATTTGAAAAGTTATTTTAATGCTGATAGAAACCAGTGTTTTTCATTTTAACCAGTTTCTTTTTATTACATTGTAGACAGGAAAATTTGAAGTTACACGACATTAGTTTAGCACTAATTTTGTTTTAAGATTGCTTAAAGTTGTTGTTGTTCTTAAAATTAACCATAGAAACAATTTTGAAATATTTATACAAAATATTTTAAAAAATAAAAATTACATGTAATTAAAAAAAAAAAAATTTTTTTGTAATGTTTTTTTTTTAGTTCTTGGTTGTTTTTTTTTTATTTCTCTTAGGTTTAGTTAAGTTTTTAATTAAAGATTAAAAAAAGAAAATTCTGGAGTCTATCAAGTTTGACCTAAAAGCCCTTTGATAAAATTTGGCATCTAATTTATAGAAAATGTATTAAACAGGAGTTGAATTTACTCAAACTTGCTATATAGTTTGCAGGCCTTCTTGTAAGAGGCGTGGGATCGCACACCTTATATGACCATGCATATAGTTCTTTGTTTTAACAACTTGACCACGGCTCTTTGCATGTTTTGATAATTAGCGTGTTTAAAAAATGCGCTAAAAAAAAAAAAAAACCAAATTTAAATGCGATTTTTAATTTAATTGATTCCATAATTACAAATAAACTGCCACATCATTTCGTGAGTACTTTAATACAACTTAATTAAAGGGAATCATTGAACATATTCAGATTAGAGTTTACAAAATATTCAGATTAGAGTTTAAGGCAAAATGAATACAGAAGCTATCAAAATATAATTGCAAACCATTTTATCATAGAAATATAATTTCTAATTAAGAAATTATTTACTAAAATAAAGAATTACAATAATCTTGAAATAATCGCATCTGCCAACTATAATTTATCCCAGGGCATGACATATCGTTTTTTTTTTTTTAATGAACGTCGACTAGCGTATTTTTATTTATTGACGAAAGTCTAATTTAAGAGATTTATGTCAAATAAAATTCAAATAATTTTATTCTAGTTAATAAGTTATTAAATATATCAAAGATGTTTGGTAAATTTATTTATTTTTTCTGAAACCTTTTTTTTACACGTTTTTTTTTTCTTTGTTTAGTTTATTATTTTTTAAAATTTTTATTTTTTTAGGTTAATTTTTGTATTATATATTATTTTAAAGATTTTCTTCACTTTTCAGCCAATGGATTGTTTATTCTAATTTTAATTTGCTATAGCGCATTTTTTAAACGCGCTAATTATCAATGACCCGTGGTCAAGTTGTTAAAACAAAGAACTTTATGTGTGGTCATATAAGGCGTGAGATCGCACGCCTCTTACGAGAAGGTCTGGTTTGCTTTTTATGGGAGAATACAATTAATAATACAATTAAAAAAATCAATAATGCAATTAAAAAAATTGTTTAAACTAAATTGAAAACTTAACAAAACATATATTATTTGTCCATGTAAGAATATGTTATATCAAATTTTTTAAAATTAGTATTATTTATTTTATCTACTTGAAGATTTCAAATTTTATTTTAAAACTTACTTTTTACAGTCAAAAATACTAGTTTGCCTAACTAACACTTTTCTTTCTTTCTCTAAATGATTTTTTCTAGTTGTTTTCTAGTTTTCTTGAACTTTTTTGCATTTAACATTGTTTTCTAGTAATTTTTAAACATTTTAACCTAACTATTGATAACTCCTTAATTTAATTTAACTTAATTTTTTTATTAATGTGTTTTTAATTGCTTGTTGTCAAAAATTATAAGAGATTAACAGTTTGCATAAAATTAAAAAAAAAGGTCATTGTTAAACAGAAATAAGAAAGTCTCAGAATACATTACGCCTTTTCTTTATATTTAGGAATTCAATAAAAGTTTTAATTTTATTTAGCTCCTGCTTAAAACAGATGAATTTTATAGAATCTTTTATTTCAGATGAACATTGATCACCTGAAATATAGGATTCTATAATAAGTAAATACTTTATTCTATAATACTTATACAAAAATCATAGGTTCAAAAAGAAATAATGCTTATTTAAAAAAATCTAAATTATACAAAATTTTTGATATACCTTTGTAACATTCTTTTCCAATATAAATATTCTTCCTCCAACAAAAGAATTTTTTGAAATATTTTATTATCCATTGATTTAATAAGATATATAAAAATATTGTTGTATACCAAATCATGACAAATTTAAGTTGTATGTTAATAGTAAGGTTATTGTTATATATCTAAAATATACATATCACATATATAAAACAAACACAATCATAAAGAGCATGCATAATATAATTATAAGATATCATAGTTTTCCTTAGTCGCAAATTAAATCTAATTAGTCTCTATCTTCTTTTTTTTTTCTTCATAAAACATAATAAATCGATTAAACTTTACACAATATAATTATTATTGTATATTGTATTGTATTAATAATACAAATTTTAACAATGAAAATTATATAAATAAAAATTCCAATATGTTTTTAAATATAAAAATGACAAAAAAAAATCAAGTATTAACAAAGTAAAATTTTTTTTTTACCATTATTGTTAAAAAATGAACCATTATTGTTAAAAAAATTGTTTCAGCTACTTAAAAAATTAAAAGAGGTGTTTGAAAATTATTCTTGCCCAAGTTTATAACCTCCAATAAATTAAATGGATTTTATATAAGTTCTTAGTATTTTTTTAGCAGTAGATAATAATTTTGGTTATGTAAACCAAATAAGGAGAGTATGGGGGCCAGCATAACCTGTATCTTATTAACCTGGTCTAAACTTGAACTTATATTAATTGAGTCAAATACAGATATTATTTATTAACTTTGACAACAGAAATTTGTTTATAATTAACATCATTAACAAATACTTTTTTTTAAAAAAAAAATCTTTTTATCATTTGTAATTTTACTTTGATATATAGATTTGTAACTAATTAAACTAAATTAACTTAACATGATACGGCCTGTTTTAGTTTAGTTCTTAAAATATACTATATGTAAATATACTATATATGCGATATAAACATACTGAATAATATATCAAAAGTGACACATTAGACCTTTTTATAATAGAAAAAAAGACAACACTTTTATCACCTTAATTATAAAATAGATCACAAGATTAAAGAAATAAAGACAAAAGAAATTAGTAAACACACTACCACTGAGTGCACAGGGAGAAAAAAACTTACATAATCAATTTTGTTCATTTTTCAACTTGCTGTACTATGTATATGCTTCTGATAAATAAAAATGTCCATTAATCAAAAATTAACAACTTTCTTTAAATTTTTTATGGTTGCATTTAGTTTGCATTTTTTTTTTAATTGCTTGGAGTTAATAGGTAAGATTATAAGAGGTATAGTAAAGGTGATAAGAGGTATAGTAAAAAAATGTATTTGAATTTAACATATGTAAATTAAACTGCTTATATTTTGTTTAGACTAAAAAACATATGGAAGTAGTTGTAACGAAAGATGTCCCTTTAATATGTAACAATCTAGACAATAAAGGTAGTTATTAATCAACTTAATTTAGAAAAGGTTTGAAAAACAAAGTAAATATAAGTTTTCTTAAACTAAAATTACAACTTAGAATTAGAAGTTGATCCTGTTGAGAAAACTATTTTAAAATGCTCACAACTGAAAAAGGTAATAATTTTTAACTGACTTTTTTGTTATTTTTCTTAAAACTTACGTTTTATATAGGTTAATGAAATATAATTTCTTTTCACTTTTAATTCAAATTAAAATGATTTGGGGTAAAAACTTTAAGATTATTGTTACAACTAATAAATAAATTTGAGCTTAAAGGTAACTATAACTTAAATAATAAGAACTATAATTTAAAATAGTTAAATATTTAAAAAGAAAAAATAGAAAGCAAACAGAAAGAATGTTGCAAACTAAAGTTTAAAATTTTTTTTATAACATTAATGTTATTTTTAATTTTTTAAATATTTAATTTTTTTAAATTTTAAATATTCAAAATACGTTTTTTATGCAGTTACCTATTAACAAAAGTTGTAATTACATTTAAATGCAAGATGTTATTATAATTTTTTTAAATAACGAAAGTAATTATACTTAAAAAAATTTTTTTTAAATACTTTTAAATCAGGAGTTAATATCTATAAAACACTGCTAATAAATAGTTTGAGGTATTTACATATTTTACATGTAAAGACTTCTAGAAAGGATGAAAATTTAGTATATATTTTTATTACATATTTATGTAACTTAAAAAAAAAAAAAATATCCAACCAACAAATAAATTTTTTTTAAGTTGGAAAAAGACATACCTTTTAAATAAATATTAAGAACAAATCATAAAAATAAAAAACAAAAAATGAACTAATGCAAAATGGATAATTTCATAATAAAATATGTTATTTCAAGTCAAACATTTATAAATAGATAAATAGAATTTTGAAATAAAAGTAAATTTATTAAAAAAATACAACAAACTATTTATTTTTTAATGATTTTTTCAAAACTTTTTGTATAACCTATTATAATTTATTAAAAAGATACGAAGAAAACCACCAACAAGAGTCTGCCCTTTTTGTGGTGAGCTGCATACCAAGTTGAACAGACACATTTTAAATAAACACCAAAAAAATGAAAAAGTTATTAATATAAAATTAAATAACAAAATTACAAAGAAAAAACTTTTCCAGCAATTCAAAAAAACTGGTATTATGTATTACAACCGAAAACAGCTATCAGAGAAAAATCCAACTTATCTAAGAGAGAGAGTTTCTAAAACAAATGCTGAACCTGTAATGTGCACAGGGTGTTATGGGTTTTATGCTCGCACATATTTTAAAAGACACCAAAATCAGTGCAGTGAAAATTCTTGTACCTCTGTAATCCATTTACCAATTACATCTATGGATAATAATTGTATAAAAGACTTAAGTGAAGATTTTAAAAAAAGTATAATTGAAAAACTACGAGATGATGAAATAGGAAAAGTTGTAAAAAACGATCAAACTATTTTAATGATTGGATCCTGTCTTTATAATAAAATAAAAAGAAAAAAAGATAAACAAAATGAAGTCAGAAGATCAGTAAGAGCAGATATGAGGAGATTGGCCCATTTGTATACAAACTTTAAGAAATTTGAAATTAAATCTGTATACAACAACGCAACAGACATGTTTTTGAGGTTAAATTTTAGACATCTATCTTCAGCTATTTCAAATTATACTTCATCTGAAAATGAAGAACAAAAATCAGGACTAAAACATGCTTTATGCTACTTGATATTAAATGCAGCTGAAAAACTTGTTGGACATTTCTTAGCTCAAGATAATGACAAAGTAGCAGATGATATTTGCAATTTTTTAAAACTTTTTAAACTAGAAAAAGACAACATATTTGCAGATGCAAATTATGATCTAGTTTCAAGAAGAAATAGAAAACTTAAAAAACCAGTTAACCTGCCAGTTGAAAGTGACATAGAACTTCTGAGAAATTACACAATAGAAACAATTAAAAAAATTGTTAACAACAAAACTATATTGTGGGATTTGCATTACTTTGTGTTGTTAAGAAATTGCACAGTTACAAGGTTGACAATATTTAATGCAAGAAGGGGTGGTGAGCCTGCAAGATTGCTTCTAAGTGATTGGAAGGATGCTGATGAAGAGGTGTGGTTAGATCAACAAAGGAACAATTGTGATAGCACTAGCAAGACCAAAATTGCTTATCAAATTGGAAAGGGAAACAGGGATGTTTCAATTTTTATTCCTCTAGACACAATAGAGGCAATGCGAATTTTATCTGACATTAAAATTCGAGGGAATGTTGGAATAAATCTTGAAAACCCATACGTTTTTGCAAGTGGGAAAAATTCGGATAGCCATTGCTCTGGATGGCATGCACTTACTAGTGTTTGTCAAAATCTACCCCTTGAAAACAAAAAAAGGCTTACTGCAACCACAAACAGACACAGAATTAGTACTTTATTGGCTTCTGTTTCTATGACAGATAGTGAAAGAAACTTGTTTTATGACCATATGGGTCATAGTGAAGCCATAAACAAACACATATATCAAGCACCACCTGCAATAATGCAGCTTGCAAAAACTGGATTAAGATTGTCGAACCTTGATAAAGGTATTAAGTCTAATATTATAATTTTACTCTTAATACATTTATTATAACAAATTTTTTACTTTTAAAGGTTAGATGTTTATGTTAGATTTAAAAATATTTTAGGTCAACTATGTGCAAGCCCAGCTAAATTTGCTAAAATAGATCATATGCAACCTATTAACAACTATGGTAATGTTAAAAATGTTTAGCTTTTTTTTTTAATTAATTTAATTATTCTTTTAATTTCAAAATCAAAATTAACATGCATCACAAATTGTTTAAACAATTTGTAATCAGTGTTATTTTGGATGTTCTTTTCAGAAAATAATTTTAAAATAAATATTTCTTAAAAGTACGAAAATATTTCGTACTTTTTCGCAATAGATATTTTACCATTGCTTTTATATAAATGTAATAAAATAAGTAATTTGACAAATTTATGTTTTGTTGATTTTATAAAAAAATCAGTAACTTATTAATGGTACTACGTAAAGTGCGAACTGTGAACCAGTAAAATGCAAACTTTTTATTTCCGTTAAATAGTTTATTTAGCGGTGTATTTTAAGGACTTTTAAGCAAAAAAATTATTAAAAAACAAACAAAAGGTAATTAAGTGAAACTAGACAAATACAATAAAAAAAAATTTTTTTATTATTATTTGATAGACTGCCTGCCCAAACCAAACCCTCAGTTGATGTAGCAGCACTCCATTGCGAGTCAGGCTATAAGATTGTCAATGTAGCAACACTCTGCGCATGTTTTACAGTAAAAAAAGAAAAATTTATTTTAAATAAAGCTTTAAAATAGACAATTAGGAATTGCAGAGCTTTTTTATTATTATTTTTATCATAATAATGGTCTTTAAAATACAATGTTTTGGTTCGCAAAAAAAGTTTGCATTTTACCGGTTCGCAGTTCGCATTTTACCGACAACGCTTATTAACATGATTTAATACAAAAATTATTTTAAACAAATAATAAACTTTTTACAAAATATATGGTACCAGCAAGACTTAACCTAGGGAAAGTAGAGTGATGTTAAGTATGAAAAAGTTCTTAAAATGATTTAAAAAAGTGAAATGTTTGTGTAATTTAAGAATCTTTTTACATATTTTTATATATCAACTGGTGTGGAACCTTTTTCCTAGTTGAGTCATCCGCTATGATAATCAGTAGTTCTGTAGTTTTATTTAATCAGTAGTTTTATTTTTTGGGTATTTTTTCCTTGGTAAACAAACTGAAGAAAAAAAATTTAAATGACTTACTGCTAAAACTTCTAATATCAACAGTTATTTTTATCACTAATATGAACTATATAATTAAAAATAAATTGTTATTAAAAAAAAATTATAAGAGGAATATAAAATAGTGGAGTAAAAAAGTTACAAGCCATAAACGAAAAGAAACCTTTTAAAAAAATATATTTTTTCTACTTTTTATGAACTTTTTTATAAAACTTTCTTTAATTCATTTTATAAATAGTTTCATAAAAAAAATAATTCTACAATAAGAATAATTTTATTAAATAAATAAAATTATTATCGATCTTCAATCAGATTTAAATTAGTTGAATGTAACTAATACATTAAAAAAAATGATAAGTTAGTATTCCAAATTGGAAGAAATGTAATTTTGAAATTCATTTTGAATTATGAAAAAAACCTAATTCAAAATGCAACTGCAACGTTTACATTTTGTGGAATATATTTGCCTTTTGAATTAAAAAAAAAATTGCTTTAAAATGCAACAACAATATTTAAAAAATCACCTTTAAAACATTTTTAAGTCGCACTTTGAAACATTAATTAAACATAATTTTCAAAATATGAACTATGTAAAATGCACCGCAGTGTAATAATTTATACATGTTGTGTATAAGTTAAGTACATTTTTAAACATAGTGTACAATAATTGGTTTTTGAAGGTTTCTTTTAAATAATCACAAGGAATAAAAACTCCATAGTTTAAAATGGGGTTTTAATAATAAACACTTTTTTGTAACTAAAAAACTGTCTGATCATCCCGCCGGGCTACTGAAAGATATTTTATTCAAAATTTAAGTTGTTAAGTAGTAATAGTAAATTGAAAAGAATTTTACAGAAATGATAACTTTAAATTGATCTAAATAATGCATCAGTAAAGTTAAACCCAATTTCTTTCCAACAATAGTATTAAACAATTTAATGCAGAAATGAATCTTGAATTAAATAACATAAATGACTGGTTTATGGCAAATAAACTTTCATTAAACGTCTCAAAAAACGAAGTATACCTTATTTCATCAAAAAATGCAAAAAGAAAATCTTCCCCTTAAACTACCAGCCCTATTCCTAAATAACACACAAATAAAAAAGCAAGACTATATAAAGTTTTTAGGAATACTTGTTGATAACAATTTATCTTGGCTTACCCATATTAAATATTTACACTCAAAAAGCTCCATGAAAAGATTCTCTATGGGGCTCTATAATAAGATGGAGGTGATATTACATCATCCATATCTTCTTTGAGTCCCCGTCTGTTTTTAAAATATTTTATTTTTTTCTATTTACCATGTAAAACTCATCTTCAATTTATTTTAACAGCAAAATATAAAATGAAATGAAAAAATAAATAAAAATAAACTAAAAATAAACAGCTAATATATTTTTTATTTAGAAAATGATTACAGGGATGAATTGTTATATGAGTCAGATAACTCAAAATGTGAGGCTGAAAACAAGAAAGGTAACTCAAAAGCTAATAAACTTAAAAGAACTTAGAAGTAACTACCTCTCACAACAATCATCTTAAATTTTTAAAAATGAAAATATTAAATTTCTAAAATCTAAATAAATTTTACTAACATTTTAGGTTTTCAGTTTTCAACTTCAGATAAAAATGCTAAAAATGAACTAGTGCAATCCAATTCAAATTTTGGTAATTTTTAGTTTTCTCTATTTTGAGCAAATTCAATTAAAATTTAATCAAAATTTAGGTTTAGTAATAGGAAAACTTCAATTGCATTTTTTTAGAGATTGAAAATTATTTCATTTAAACTTTTGTACTATAAAATTATTCAAAGTTCTAATTCTTTACTTTTGTTTTAGAAAGTAAAGAAAAAAATAGGCTATATTGTCGCTGGACAGTTGATTATGAAACCATGTTTGTTGAATGGTTTGAAAAATACTTAGACAAAGATGCAGGATGGCCAGGTCTGATATTAAAATTTGTTATTATTTTAATATTTTTTAATAAATTTTTGTTGAGACAAAATCATGCTTGGTTGGGTTCATTTTGGTATGAAACAAATGCATTGTTACAAAACAAAATAAGCACTTATTAACCACTTAAAAAACTTGAAAATTTTTTTTGTGACATTTCCTTTTAGTGAGCACTACAATGCTCCCTAAAAAGATGTCTGCTGATATAATGTCGTGATTATAATTGATCTTAAAAGAAAAATATTTTAGGGCAAACGAGGCTCATTAGTAATGGCGAAAGCAACTCATCTGAATAATGGAATATTTTGAAATAAAAACCTCACTTTAGTGAAATAAGGGCAAGTGGAGCTTATTAACCTAGGATTGTAATCTTCGTCACAAAAAAAATACTCAGTTTTACAAAACAAAAAACAAACTATATACAAAAAAAGTTTAGAGGAAAAAATTGCTCAAAGGTGGAAATTAAATGTTTATAAAAAAAAGAGATGTTGGTGAAAAAGTATATAAGAATTGTTAAAGAGATTGAAAATGTTTGGATTGTTAAAGAGCTGGATAAAAAAGTTTAAAAAACTTACAATTGAAGCACTTATAAATTTATTCCAAATGATCGGAAAAGAAGATGAAGAGTAAAAATTTGCAAAGGAGGTAAAGAAAATGGTTTAAACAGAAAAACAAAATTGCTTGAAAAAGTATTGAAATTTTAAAAAAGAAATATTACTGACTAAATAGGAAGCAGTCATGGGCGCCTGCAGGATTTTTTGATGTTTCAGAAAGAACACTTTCACACAATGCGCAAACTCTAAACTTCATTATGTTTATGCCTATGGCAAATGAAGAAGCTTTGCAAAAACTTGGGCTGGTGGAGGCCTGGGAACAAAAAAAGCCTTTAAACATTTGTCCTCCCCCTCCCCACCTGCGCAAAAGTGAGGGTACTAATGTAGTAAACTTTTCACTTTACTATTACAGAGAGCAGAGGAGGGGGGGGGGGACAAATGCTTTAGGGTTTTTTTTATTCCCAGGCCTCCACCAACCCAAAGTTTTGATAGGCTCTCATTTGGCATAGGTATAAACATATTAAAGTTTAGAGTTTGCACAATGTGTGAAAGTGTCCTATCTGAAACATCAAAAAATCCTGCAAGCAATCATGAAGGCAGTAAATATACCATTAAAAAAAAAACTAATTAAAAGATATTAAAGAATAAAAAATTAAAGAAACTATATTTCTTATTAGACAAGTTAAGGCAAGAATGTCTTACGAAAAGCAAAAAAAATCTGTGAATGTAATTTGAAGACTTTGAAAAAGCATTTGATTTGATTTGGTACTCTACTAAGAGAAGTAGTGTGGCGAGTTTTAAAGTAATAGGTGTTAAAAAATGGCCAGTGATAATTGTCAAACAGCTTTAGCTTCTTTTTCTTTACCATCTTGGCCCAAGCACTAACCTCATGATAACAATAGTTCTTAAGATGAATATGATGCAACTAATGGCGCCAATCTTCTTTTCTTTGTTTTACTACTTGAAGTATCAAAATTAACCTAAGGCCTGCCAGATACTACAGTTAGATAAGAGCAGAGTTTTCTCAGTTAGAATTTCCTTATTATCAATTACAAATTTGCAGTTAAGTTCATGCCATTTACAACTGCCTCCAAAATATTAGGATTAGCTAAGTTCAAGTTTTTTTTGTATTATATATAAATAAATATCAGTATTTTTCAAGTTTTAACTATATAAAAATATGAATACTATTTACAAATAATATTTATGAAGGTTTATGATGTCAAGTATTCTTTAAAAATATCTTAACAAATGTTATTTTTAAAGAATACTTGAATACTTAATCTTTAAAAAATGTCATATTTTTAATACAAAATAACTTTCTTTGTAACATAGTTGTGGATTAAAATGCATATGTAATTAACAACAATAAAAAAAACCATTTGCATCTAAAATAAAGATATTAAATATATATAGAAGACACAACCTTTTTTAACTTTTTACGCTGTTAAACATGAAACCAAGAAGCTCAACTCATCTTAAAAATCAATTTTTAAAAAGTATATCAAAACAAAACTAGAACTTATTTTATTAAAATTACATTTATTTCATTGGTAAAACTATATCCTTTTGAGTTTAATTAATGAGATTTATTGCTGTTTGAGGCTTTATTTTGCTTTATTTTGCAAAGCAAAATTACAATACTTTATAAGTATTGTAATTTTGCTTTGCAAATATTTTGAAACTTATAAATATTTAGTTCATAAAAAAACTATACAGACTTGATAATTTATTCAAGCACCTTTTATTTCTAAGCGTTTCAGTACATTGTGTCATTGACTTTTTTGTTTGTTCACATAATCGATCTTTTACACAAACAAAAAAAATCAATGACCTCAGTACTAAAACTCTTAGAAATAAAAATTGCTTGAATAAATTATCAAGTCTGTAGATTGCATACATTATGCTGACTTTTTGGCCTATAGCAAAATGGAGAAAACAAGCTTTGAATAAAATAAAAATAAACTAGTTTTTCTTGGTATGCATTGATTCTTTTGTTATAATCAAAAAAAATTTAGCCTAAACATTTTTTTTTTAATCATTCTCTTTAATAAGAACACAATTTGTCTCAGAGCTTTGGAACCCCTTTAAATATTATGATTTATGTATTTAGATCGCAAATATATAGAAAAGTTTCAAGAACTTGTTCCATTTTCGTATAAAACTATACGAACAAAAATAAACAATGAGAGGAAGAAATGGTGCAACCTAGTAAAACATCGAGAAAAAATTATGAACATGTAGAAATTAAAGACTTTATACATTTTTGCACTGCTTAATCATTTTTTTTATTATATTATTAACCTATAGTTCCATAATATCAAATTAGAAACATTATACCTCATTAAATTTATCTATCTACAATGTTTTAATATTATACATACTATATAATTAAAAATATCTTTTTGAAATTTTTTTAATTTTAAATCTAATCATACTATAATAAATACGATTAGTATAGTGCAATAAACAAACATGATAAATAGTATTTTATATAATAATAAATAAATAAACAAAGATATGTGTGTGTGTGTGTGTGTGTGTGTGTGTGTGTGTGTGTGTGTGTGTGTGTGTGTGTGTGTGTGTGTGTATAAGATGTTAAAATATAATTGTTTGAAACAAACTTTAAATTTTTTTAAATTGCAAACGATTACATTGTGTATTTTATTGTTATTTATAAAATGTTGAATTTAAAAATTTAACCTTTTTATTTTGTAGGTAGGTTAAACAAAACCTATAGGTTTTGTTTAACTTGTTTAAAATAGCTAGGCCTAGCCATGGCTCTGTTTAACATGCTTGAGTAAATTAATACTCCTTGCTTATTTTACTTATCTAGTTTTTGTTAATAATATTTAAAAAAAATCAGTATTAAATAAACCAATAAAATTAAAACTATTTAATTAAATAGTTAACTATTTTATTTAAAATAGTTTTTTTATTTAAAATTGTATAGTACAAAATGAATTCAAACTCGATTTTTTGAAAAAACTTAGTTAAACTATTTACTTGATATTGCTTCTTTTACAGACTTGTAAGTAAAAGAAACAATAGCAAGTAAAACTCTTAGCCAGAGTGCACTTAAGTAAGTTTAGAAAAAATTAATTTATATAAAGTTTTATTATAGTTTTTAAAATACTATTAACAAAAATCATTTTGTAATAACTAGAAATATTAAAAGTTGATTACCGTACTTAAACGCGGTTCTAAAATTTACAAAAACATCTATCTAACTGAAAAACTAAAGCAGAAATGTAAATCTGTTTGGAAATGACGATGGTACGATTCATTTATAATGCCTCATTACCGTCGTTTTTTGACGCAATTAAAGATGGATCAAAAATGAATTAAAGCTTGGGGGTCATCCATAAAGGACGTTAAATTCAACTAATGGCAAGATGTAGGAGAGAGTTACTTTTGTGCGCAGAGACTTTTAGAGTATTATAGCGTCTTATGTTTAATAAAAATCTCTGCGGAAGAGAGTTAATAAACTTCTTCTATATTCTGAATGACGTCCTTTATGTACGACCCCTTATCCAACTTTATCAATTTTACAAAGATTATTACGAAATCAAACCTTTAAAAGTAGGGTTACTAGACATATAAAAAATATGATTTTAGCGCCCTAAGATATGATTTTGCTCCTTGATGCCAAATAAATTTAGTTCTTAATTTTTACGTTTGCCGCCATGATTAAATTCTAGTATTATTGCCTGTCATGTAGTTTAAACTCTCCTATCATCAGTGTATAAATCTTTTAAAGTTTAACCAAGATCTTTCTTTTCTAATTACAGTCTTGAGTAGCAACTGGTGAATATAGAATAAGATAGGAATAGGGGTAAAAATGATCAAACCTAAGGCAAAAAAAATAAATTGCTTTTGTGTAATAATTTTGAAGCCGACAAGCAGTGCAAGAAACTGTTTTTTTCAGCTTAGTTCGCTGAAGGATAAAAGAAGTAAAAATGAGTATGATTAGCTGAAATTTTAAAAAATGCAAAAGCTTTTATGAAAAACGGTTTAAACAAAAAAATAATTTTGTTTGATACAAGGTTTCAATTATATACATTGTCAAAGTTTCATTCAAATAACATTTTTTATTGACAAAGTTACTGATCAGTACTTTTATTATTTTTTCCTCATGTCATATACCTGCTTATTATATAATCCCTCAAATCATAAATCAGCATATCAACATGTTCATTAAGTTTTTATAACTTTTAAATTTCCCTTATTTAACAGTTTTTTGAAAGAAATAATTACCAAAAGCGACATTTAAAAAACTTATAAACACTTATAATACGATATATATAATTGCATTGATTCATATTATGTGATGTGAAGTACTATTGATTTTTATTTAAAAATTTTTTATATATTATATAAATGATAAACTATAAAAACTTATAAAAACAATGCGAACCTTATTCTAAATACGCATTTAATAGACGTCAATTGCTTCGCTTGTAAAATGATACTTCCTAACTGTGTTTAAAAAGATTTACTAACATTCTTCTGTTCATGATACAGAAGTACCAAAAACATTTACTCTAAGTCATAATAGATTACCTTTTTCAATGATGTAGTAGGATACATGCTTAAACGTTATAATATCATTGATAAAGGAAGAGTTTAAACAAAGTTTTTTTTTCTTTATCACAATCTTTAGTACACAATATCATTAGATAAGCGCAAAAAAAAATACTTCTTTTTTATTGGCATCAACGCAGGTTTGAATGCATAACTCGGCATCTAACTATCAGTGTACACCAAAGATTTTGAACATCTCATATGCTGTGATTCGCCTCTTATATTCTTTAAAACCAATGTATTATATAGACAATATATGCCATAGACACGATACAGATTTTTGAACAATTTATATGCGAAAGGGATCGCATAACAAAATTCATACATTAACAAATTCAAATTTAAAATTATACAAATTCATACATAACAAAATTCAAACATTCGTGCTTTGGCTAAAAAACGTAACTATTGGCAATAATAATAAAATGATAATCTTATAGAAGTTTTAAGGGGCTCGTTTGGCAACGTTATTAGCTGATATAAATTTTAAAAAATCCGGAGTGCCGGAGTGCCGGAGTGCAAACAGTTTTTACTCCGGAGTGCCGGAGTGCAAACAGTTTTTACAACGGGTGGGCCTAATATGGTACCGTAAACTTTATTTTGGTAAGTCAAAAACAATTTTAAAACCTGTGCGTAAACCATGGTCTGAGCATTTTATGATCCATGATTATATGATTTGTATTGTTTGTAACTTTTTCGGCGATTTTTTAGCTAATTACTATATTCAGTCTTTATTAGAATATATTTTATAATAACATGTTCGTTTGCAGCCGTGGCGCAGAGGTTAGGGTTCTGACTAAGAAGCCTAAGGTACGAGGTTCGAAGCCAGCTCTAGTCCAACAAGCGACATTGGTACGGAAGGAGGCGTGAACTTCTAGTTAAATGCTCACCCGCGGTGCTCCGTGATAAGACCGTAAGGACTTCTGGGAGCACCTAAATAAACTAAAAAAAAAAAAAAAGTTTGAACTATGCGATTGCTAAAAACACTAAGCAGCCTCTGAGAGGCACTTGCCACAGAAACTAAGGATCCGTGGTTAAAACCACACCTCTGGACAAATTTTGCGACATCGGTTAAAAAGGAGGCGTGAAATTCCAATTTAGTGCTTATCTGCGGTGCTCTGTGATAAGACCGTAAGAACATCTTGAGAATCTGTGATATAACCGTAAGAACATCACCTAAATGAAATAAAAAAAAATAAAAAATCATTAAGCTAAAATTAGTTTATATAAAAAAAAAATGTATAGTAAGCTTACGGGGCTTTTCGTTAAGGTGGTAGTACCTTTTAAGAGGAAAAAAATTTAAGTCTTGATATTATATGGAAACATTTGTGTTTTTCTGAAGTGTGAGATAAAATCATTTTTTTTTACCTCTTAAATAACCTAAGACTATTTGATAAAATAAATAACCTAAGACTATTTGATAAAATACTATTAACATTAAGTAACAATAGTTATAATAAATCAACGTTTTCTGATAGCAACTGTAAAATAAAACAAAATAATAATTTAAAAACGCAAAATATTAGTACAAATTCTGCTAAAAACGTTGCTTTCTGATATTAATCTAATATACAGATTTGATACCAAATAATTTATTAGTTAGATGCAAACTGTTGTAACTGTAAAGTAAAAAAATATCAACAACAAGAAAAATATCAACTGCATTTATTTTGCAAATCATTTAGAAATCACAGAAAAGTTTGAGAGAGTCCGACAGCGACAAATCCATTGTTTTTTAGTGATTGAGATTACTTTCAGATATGGAGCAAACTACAAACATTTTATGTTTACACATAAATATAACATATGAAAAATAATGAGGCTGTGCAAAAAATTGCTGTTATTAAAAGCCGGGAACGAAAAATCCCTATGACTTCTTTACCCTCCTCACCCCCTTCCTTATACGAGGGGCAACAAGTTGATAAAATTATTTTTGTACTATTCTCAATTAGATATATATTCATCGATTAATTTCAAATTTCATAGTATTATCTCACAGCGTTCTAAAATCATGACCATGTACAACTTGTAATCCCCTCAAATCGAAGGGTTTAAACTTTATAAATTTTGAACGTGAGCTGTATTTTATGTTCTTAAATATCACACTTTTAAGGTGGTAGACTGCTAAAAAAATTATTTTTGTATTTAACAATATTTCAGTTAATTTTTTACTTTAAACATGATATATACATTGAAAAATTGTTATTTCTAATTTTTTTTTTCTTTTTTCCATAAATTTTGGGGAAAACAGGTGGTTTTAGGCCAAAAACATGCTAAAATCTTGGCAAAAATATTTCAGAAAGAACACCGTATTAAGTTCTAATTTTTTGCAGTTTTATTCCTTTTATGTAGATAAATGTCTTGAGATAAATATTTTTGATGAAAATTTTTTTAAAATTTTGTAAAAAATTCCTGAAAATTTCATTATTGGTTTAAAAATTTTGTTGAAAGCGCCGTTCGGTTTTTCAATTCACACAATTAAAATTCAAATTTCTTGTATCATGGATCAAAAATTTGTTGTTTTTTGTTTTTTTTTATCTTAGGACATAAAGCTCATTATATTGAATAAACTTTCAAAATTTGAAGTAAATTCAACAACTACATATATTGCAATCTTTGCCAGAAAATTAGAAGTATAAAATAGAGAAAAATGCACATAAAATATTAAATATTGAGTACACAAACGTATAAAAACAGGTTAAATTTTCACTTTTTTATATACTGTATCTCTTCATCATTGTATTAATTATTGAACCATTTCCTCGTTGCTTTAAGATTTTTTCTTTGCTTTTTATTTAATTTTTTTTATTTCTAACTTTAATTAGCTGCTGCTATGAGCGTTGCTAGAAGAAAAACAATTAACTTGCTAAAATAAATCACTTTTATCAGCTCTAAATTTTTTTTCTCATATGAAGAACAATATATTTTAAGACTATACAATAATTACTGTTTAAAGTAATATGATTTTTGAAAAATTGCTTTTTTAAAACTTTTTTAGCAGTCTACCATCTTAAATGAATCTCTGTTTTATAAGGCTTTTGTAAATTAAAATATTATAAAATATAGAAATAAAAACTTTTTAACTTTTAACTTTAAATTATGAATTTATATAAGAGTTATAAAACTTTAAAAAAATCTTTGCACGAAAAGTGCAAGTTATTTAAAGTGACTTATTTTTAACATAAAGTTGTAAAACATCAAAAACAGCATCGTATTAACTAATATTTCTTTTTTGTGAAATTTCGGTCTAAATCATAAAAAAGAAAAATTAGTTAGTACGATGCCGTTTTTGATGTTTTACAACTTATTTTACTACTAGAAATACTACAAGAAATGTCGCTAAAACACTTATTTTAAACTGTTTATTTATATGTAGTTATAAAACTTCGTAATTCGATTAAAAAAATTTACAATTACTTTAAAATCACAAGTGAGATACCATTAATGAGATCTAAAATATAAGAAAACGCTACGCTGAAGAAAAGTATGTTTTACGTTAAGATAGCGTAAAATTTTACGTTAAGCAGACTTATAGTATGAAAATTATTCTTCATATTACGTAAAGCAGACATTAAATTTTTTATTTAGTTTTTTTGTATCTAAGGTGAGTTTAATTACAGAATTTGTTTTCTAAAGCAAAAATATTAAGTTTTTACTAGGAACTTCATTGCTATTTTGTCTTTAGGACCAAGATTTCAAGTGTCTGCTTTAGGTCAACTTTTTAATACTGTCTGCTTTGCGATCAATTAGCGTTATATATATATATATATATATATATATACATATATATATATATATACATATATATATGTATATATATATATATATATATATATATATATATATATGTATATATATATATATATATATATATATATATATATATATATATATATATATATATATATATATATATATATTACTTTATAAATATGTTTTTACAGTTTGTTAAAAAATATTTATATGAGATAATATCGCTATGAGAAACGGTCGGACAGCTTGTATATAATAAAATGACTGCTGTATAACTTTTAAATTTTAAATACTTTTGATATAAAAAATCAGCGGGCACAGACGTCCGCCGAACATCTATACAACGTATTATTGACGTCTTAGGTCCGTAGGACATCCTTAAGACTTCGAAAGGACGTTTTTTTCCAGTTAGGGATAACCAGCAATTAAAACTGAAACAATAAAAAATATTACAATTTATTTAGAATATCTCAGAGAAGAAGTTGGATGCAATATACAAGAGGATCCATTATATCCGGCATGCAAAACAAAAGTTATGGTAAGCTTTACATTTGGTAAAAATTAACCTTTTATGCTTCTTATGAATATAAGTTCAAAAACTACTTTGATATACAGATATTATGTTTAATATTGTAAAAGTTTATAATAACGATTACAAAGTTTTATTATTTTGATGGTGGATACAAGAGTTTTATTAATACGTTGCAAAACATACTAAGAAATAAAATATAAGAGCAATACATTTATCATTCATTTAAGTTGGTCATGTTGATCTTTGAAATCAAATTAAAAAAATAAACTAGTAAACACTTTTATATCAGTAGCATTACTTTCTTGTGTTTACTTAATAATATGAAGTTTTTTTTAGTTATTTTTTTAATCTGCAAAGTTTAAGAAAAACATCCAATCTTTTGCAGCAAATAAGCAACTTGTATCTTTAAGTTATTTCAATTAAAAAATTATCCCCTAAATGAACTAAAGCGTTTACCCAAAACAAATGTAAAAGAGTAAATACGTCATTATTTTTCAATGGTTATTTTAATACATTTCTAATTGTGTTCGTATTTTGTTGGCAACTTTTCCAATTTTACAAAAATGTTTTAGCTTTCTTATTTAACTTAAAATAAGCTTTAAAAATGACAAAAGAAAAAGTTGTTAAAAAGTACTAAGCACAAATATTATGCAAAATCTAATTAAAAGCTGCAATTCAGTTGCAAATACAATTCTACACCATTATTTAACGTCGTGTTATTAAAAATTTTCTTAAACAAAATCCAATGAAAATCTGGTAATGAAGGAAGGGAGGTTTTTTAAGGTATAAACTGGTTAACGTTTTTATGAATCATCTAAGTCTCTCATTATGAGAACGCAAAAAAAAACAAAAAAACAAATAAGGATTTTCTTATATAAAATAAACTTGTTTTTTAAGCTTTCAAATCACAAAAAGTGCTTAACCATTATTAAATTTGCGGCCGTGGCATAGTGGTTGGAGCGCTTGCTTTATAAACAGAAGATCCAGGTTTGAAACGAGCTTTGGACATATTTTGCGTCACGGTAAGAAAGGAGGCGAGAACTTCCTGGTTAAATGCACTTCCGCGGTACTCAGTGACAAGACCGTAAGGACTTTTTGGGGCACCTAAATAACAGATTAAAAAAAAAAAAAAAAAAAATTTTAATATTTCTCAATTGTTGAAGATAATGAAATTTATATAATGTGCGATTATCAGCAAAATTCTGGTGCTGTCCATTATAATAAAGGAAAAGTAGATACATGCAAATCGAAAGTAGATAGGAGAAGTAGAAAATTAAATACGCAAAGCATGAAAAGTTTGTTAAAAAAAACATTTATATGGCAGGCTTTTTGAAAGTATGACAAAAATCAGCACCTATGTTTTATGAGTACTCACTTTCTGGTTAAGTATATGTTAAAGAGTGTTTACAAATATGTCTTTTACCTCTTACTAAATCACATGATAAGATATGTGTTATGGCCTTATTTATCATCAAGTTATTATAGCAAACTGGCTTGTTTCAAAAAGCAAACCGCAGATAATTCAAAATTATTGCAAAGTACTTGGTAATTGTTAAACAAAAAATGAAAAAACTTAAAACTATAAAGAAATATCAAAGATTTAAATATTTCATTCAAGATGCATCAAGTTTTGGTTGTTATTCTGGGCGCAAGCTTTTGTGTACCACCAAAGCAAAAGTTCAAAATTCCATTAGATGCCGGCAGTAACAAATTAATTTCTTGGAAATATTTTATTTCTTTGATAATGAATTAAAATTAATACTTAGTTCTAAATAAAGTTGGTGAGTACCTTTTTTAAGTTGTTTCCGTTTTCTACTTTAACACTTATTTCGAGTACATGCAAAAAGTTTCGACTTACTAAAGATTTGGGAGGCCTCCACTTATAAATAACCCAGGTAAATATTTATACTTAAATAACTTTTACATATATATTCAAAAAAAATAATTTAAAAAACGACACAAGACTTCTGGAAGTATATTTTAAACAAGTTTTTAAAAGCAAATAGTTTAAAACTTTTACACAAATTTTTAAATTTTTTTTTTTTAAAAGAAAAACTTGCAAACTGAAAAAAGTTTAACATAAAGATAAAATATGTATGTTTTAGGTTTTAGGCTTAAGTAGTGCCCACCCACTAGCAACCGCTCCGAAATTGATCATCTAGCTCTTTTAAATGTACAATTTTATACGGGACGAAAACAGCAAATTATAGAAACTAGTCAGAACGTAACCCAAACATTAGGCAGGAAGATGGTTTAGCCAAATTTTTATAAGAATTTTTTAAGAGCAGGTCATCACTTGACTGATTTCTTGACCTGCAGTAACTTAAAAATTATCTACGGAAAAGTAGATTCTGATACAGTTAGGGTTGTTGCTCAGTGCAATTATTTATCAAATACGGAAAATCAAAGCTTTCAAAGTCTATGAGATAAACCTGTTCCAAAATATATTACTCATGTTTAAATACCAAAATGACATGTTTCCGAAATCGTCTAAAAACCATTTTTAAAAAACTGATCGTAAATATTTGAAGAGGTATAATGTCCGTAACTTTTATTTACTTAAGTCAACTCTTAAAACTCAATTTCAAAATGGAGGATCTTGTCGTTGGAACAAAGGTCTTAATGAAATAATGAAAATTGTAACTTTAGTTTTAACAATACAGTTAAACAGTAGTAAATTGAATAATAATAACAAAAACAGACATAAACATATTTTTGTTTTTTAAAAACTTGTAATATTTCTTACTTTATCAATTTAATTTGTTGCTACAATTTATTGTATTTTTTTAAATTAAGTATTAACTTGATTTCTATAATAAGTATTTTGTAAATTTATTTAATAAGAAACTTTAAAAAAATTCTTTACGCTTACTATAGGGACTTGAAGAAAAGATTTCTGTCTTTTACTTGCTCCTTTATGTCTTTATTTTTTATTTAAATTTTATTGATGAAACTCGTAAAAAAAGAACATTGTAAAATGTTTGTAAATGAAAAAAAAAAGTATAGTTTTAAAATGAAGCCTTGTAAATCATGCTATTCAATCCCTGAAAATTTTAGTGGATACTTTCTTAAGTTCGGAATTTGCACGGCCGACGACACGGGTTTCAAAGTGAAGAGGCACTATTGTCACTTTCTAAAAAAAGTCCTCTATATGTTGAGTTTTTATAAAAAAGGGCCCTTCGGCATCCCCAATGTTATTGGAACTGGTTAATAGTGGTAAAAATTTTCTCAAGTTTGCGTTGTTGATACTCCGTTATGGGTTGATGCTAGCTTACCGCGTCAAAAAAAGCAACCTCTCATTCAAATGACGGGCTAAGACGCTGGAATTAAAAGTTACATTCTAGTTGCTGTATCAGAAGATTTGCTAGAAATTCATTTTTAGATTAAACAAATCTGATTACTGATTAATGCAAATGTAGTTGAACTAATTTTGGATTGCGATGTGATAGTAGCAAATATACTCTGTGGTATTTAAACTCATTCAAGTATGCACCCTTAGCATTTTGTGACGTTAAATCCAAGTGCCATATCTTGAAACTCGCAAACACTGTGATCAATCGAATTTAGCATCGAGTCTTTTCAACAATCTAATGGGGTTGTTGCCCTCACAAAGTTGTTTGGTAATGTCATACGAAAGCCTGTCATCAGTGGGCCTGACATTGTTCCGATTTTTGAGTAGTTTCACCAATAAAAATGGAATTTTTTTTAGGAGTTGTCAATCATATTTTCAACATACTTAAAGCTGGTTAGTTAGAAGCTAAAGATTTTAACCATTTTAATCCTTACATGCTGTTAGTAATTATTATTTTTATTATTGAAAAATTATTTAAAAGTATTAAAGTTAAAAATTATAATAAGCTTTTTTAAATGATATTCTTGTGGAGAAAATCAAGTTTCATGCCTTACAATTAAATTTTATGCTATATAATGCTAAACATTTTTGTAAAAGATTGGGCTTACATTGGTATTTTTTCACTTAGTTTTGAAAGTTAATATATTTAAGAAGGTTTTAAGGGCCAATAAATTCTTTAGACAAAAACACTTTTTTTCTTTTTCCAACTGATATTCTTTTTGCGAGGTTTTTTTGGATTTTACTGCAGGAAAAAATAAGATATTTTACGGTATGCATAAACCAATTCAAAACAATCTTAAAATATCAAATCAATATTTTTGTCTATAGAATAATGAAATATGTAGAAATAAAGCAACTATAGTAATAATTGATATTACATAGTAAAACTATATGTAACATTTATTTTGAAAATAGTGATTAATTATTACAAATCCAATATCAAATTATTAGTAAAGTTTTGAGGCCTATGTAGCAAAAAACTTACACAATATAAACTAAAACTGCCATAAATCTTAACCAATCTGACTGATTGAGTTTTATCCATAGTATGGTGTAGTCATATGCTACGTTTACATGTGGCCACACCATACGTTTTCATCACATTATATGTAGTGTACTATATATACCACTACTTAAAGTTTAAAAAAATCTAGCTTTTTTATTAAATTGTGTTTTGTTAAACTGTAAAGTGGAATCTCATTCTACTGGTGTTTTTTATTGTCACACAACAAAATCAAAATTTCATTTAATTAGAACATTCAAATTGAGTTATTTACTGCGAATAAAATTAAAAGATTTCAAAACTTGCATCACGGAGTACCTTGATGTGTACGCTATCACCTTACACAAGTGGCTTTTTGGGTCAACTAGGTTGGCAATATCAGGATCCGCGCTAATCATTTTTTCTTGATGATATTTTCATTACGTTGATAAACTGTGTTTTACATTTCAAATACCTTATAAAATATATATTGCTTTTATTAACTTTATTTTATTTTTGTATATTTATTTGAAATAATTGTTTTATTACTATTGTATTGTTTAACGTTTCTTGGTGACATGATGCTAAAATCCTCTTCGAGTTTCCGCGTTCTTAATTAGCAACTTTGGTGTAGCGCTTGGTATTCTGATTTCTGAAACCGTAGTCCCTGATTCAAAACCATTATTGTTAAAGAAGGAAGCGTAAACTTCCCAGTTAAATGCTGCTTTTTAAGTAAATGATGTGCTTATACCAAAAGTTTAACAAACTATTTTCATTTAGGGCAAAATATATTTTAACAAAATTTTTTCAAGTTGTTGTGTTAGTTCTGTGTATTAATGTATAGCTGTCAAAACAATAGAAGATTTAATTTTTTATATTTATTTTTTCAAAAGTCGATACAAGCAAATTGGCGAGATAATCCGGATTATAAAAAAAACGGAGTTGATGGATCTGTATGTTCAATTATAAACTACTTGAGTAAGGTAATTAGCAATTTTTTAATTTAATAATTTTTTCGTAAATGCATATAAAAAAAGTACTCAAGAATATTATTTTTATAGGTGGAAAGATTTTGCCCTTGTGCTGTACCAAACAATTCTTTATACCCAAATTGCCTAAATAAAGTAAAAGTAAGTAACTCAAAAATAGATATTTTAAACATTTTAAACTTACATTTAATTTTTTTTTTTATTTCAAAGTCTTAGTAAAGATATATTGCTATGTTAATTGAACGACATTCAACAGAAACGATCCAACCAATAATTTAGCTTACCATAAAAATTATCGCCATTAAATTCACTGCTACTTGTCTAATGTTTATTAAAAAAGAACCAACTGCAAAATCAACTGTTTATATGTTGTAAAGCAGTTTTATAATGTTTATTTTATGCCTTTCATTTGTAAATTTTAGTTTTATTTGTCATTTTCTCAGTTAGACATTTTTGTTGTAGGTTCCTTTCTGTTGTATGTCCTCCAATTATTTGTAACACTTTTGTATGAAGTTCATTTATGTGATGTGTTTTATTTGCATTACCTCAGTAACTTAAACTATTTTATTTACTGCATTATTTTTGGAGTTTTTTTTAATTATATTTAGTATTGCTTTGTATTTGTGTTGTGCAATTACAAAGCAATACTAGTAGTTTTATTTTACATTAGGAAATTAATCAGGTTAAATTTTTATTCTCTTCTATATTGTAGTTTTTATGTTATAATTAAAAAAATGTTATTTCATCGAAAAAATTTAAAGATTATAGATAAAGATATATAGATAAATAGTAAATGTAGGTGGATGTAAGTGTAAAAAGTGAATTATAACAAGTACACAGAGTTGCTTAATCAAACCTTACAGCTATTGAAAGTTGTAAATAATTTAATACCAGTTGCTGTGACTAAATAAAGCTTGCTAAAAAAATTTGCAGTTTAAAATAATTGTAGTTGCGTTACCTTAAGTATTTTATTTTTACAAAATTCATTAAACCATTGTTTTAACTTTTTGGTTTTAATATTATCACTCATTTAATATATGTATTAATTACAGTAAACAAACAAAAACAAAACAAAACAAAAACAAAAAAAATTATAATTTTTGTTTTAATTTTTCTTTCGTAAGTGGATGAAAGCGAACTGGAAAGCAGATCCTTTTTACAAAAAACAAGGAATTGATGGATCTGTGTGTTCAATACTTAACTACTTGAGTAGGGTAAGTGACATTTATTTTTTATTCTTATAAATGTTATCATCAGTGGTTGGACCCATATGTTCAAATTTTGTTTTGAGGGAGTGAAAGTCATATATGTTACATCACAAATTTATTATCAGTTAAATTGTAATTCAATATCGTAGGCGACAAATAAATCTAAATCTAAACAAATTATTTCAATATTTAGTTTAATTAATTATTAAATTTGAAAGTTTATTTTCCGCCATATATACATATATATATATATATATATATATATATATATATATATATATATATATATATATATATATATATATATATATATATATATATATATATATATATATATATATATATATATATATATATATATATATACATACATATATATATATATACATAGAGTTGTTTTTTTTGTTTTTTTGGTTTACATTTGTTGGTAGTTGTAAAACTTTATAAAACTAGAAATAAAAATTTAAAAAAAGTTTTATTCAAAAAATAGCTGTTTCTTAAAATATATTAACTGATTGGTTTAAAAGTAAAAAGATCTATGAAAACATGATAAGTTATTTATCCATATATATAAAAAACATAAAATGGTAAATACATTTAAATCGCATATATTTTAAATTCTCATTTCAATAAAATGATGCTTCGAATGAAAGAAGCGATTTGCATTGATTATGATTGCATTGCACTGATTAAACGGATTGCGCGTTTCTGACGTAAATAAAGACTTTGCAACTTACATTTATTTGCACTTTTCCAAGCAATATTAGCATAATTTAAATAACTATGTATAAATAAATGATAAAGTTAGATTTTTTATTGAGGTAGATTTGTAAATTTATATAAGACCCTCATATTTTTATAAATATTTGTGCTTATATAAAGATTATAAGTAATATTTTTATCAAGATAAACACCCAAACAAAATTTAACAAAATTTTTTTTTCTTCTTTCGATTGATAACGATTTGAGGTAATTTTGATTGCAGAAATCACTTTTTTGTAATCGAATGAATTAAAACCCATTTTGTTTTATCAGTGTTCAGGGTTAACTTATTACACTTGAACCACTTAGATAAGTGTCTAATTTCTTCGTTTAATGTTTTTGAAAGTTCAACGATATTATTGTTAGTAAAGAATAAGTTCGTATCATCTGCATTCATAATGCTCGTTAGTTTTGAGGCTTTATTCAAGTCTTTTGTATAAAATAAAAAACAGGAGAGGTTGAAGAATTAAACCTTGTGTGATTCCCCAGGTTATAATGAGAAAAGTGATTTGATAATTATAGTTAATAGATAAAAGTTGTTTTCGGTTAGATAGATATATTTTAAACCATTTTAAAATTTTATCTTTTATTCCGTAGGATTTGAGTTTATCAGATGCTTTTGATAAGACAATAAAATTTTCTATTGTATATTGCAGTTTTTTAAATAAGTTTGAAATTTCACGTTATAGTTGAAGAATTGCATGTTCAGTCGAGTTATCCTTTTTGAAACCGAATCGATTGATGTAAAGTAGATAGTTATCATGAAAACATTTGTATATTCTGTTGAAAACAATTTTTCTAAAAGTTGAAAAAATGTGGAAAGAACAGAGATGGGGTAACAATTACTAATTATGATTAATTTGTGATATATCCCCTCTTTAAAAATAGAAATATTTTTAGGGGTTTTAACTGTTGTGGGAATACTATATGAATGATAGATGTACTAAAGATTATAAAAAGAACCTCTTTAAGATGGTCAAAGCAATCTTTAACTACGTTTTCAGTAATTTGATCTTCTCTATTTGCTTTATTTTTTTAAACAGATTTAAAGGTTCTTTCAAACTCATTAAACATTAATTCAGAAGACAACTCATCTAAACAATTGCATTTATCCATGGGTTCTAAATAATTAGTTAATAAAGATTTGGTTTAAAGGAATATATGGTCTAGTGTTGTAAAGAATATAACAAATTTTTCACTGATATAGATCAGTGAAAAGTTTGCTAAATTTTGGAGCTATAGCTCTTGGTTCATTCAAATTTTTTAATCAATTCTAACACTTTGTGATAGAAAACCGGAGCGTGATTTTTTTTTGCCGAAAATTTCTTTCAATATTAAATGTATTAAATAAAGGGGATTAATAAACATATTACTCCCGATTATTTAAAAGGTTTCCTTAGGTTTTTTAAAATTATTTTTAAATCAATTTTTGTAGTTCTTAAATTTTTTTTTGCTTGTTACTGTTTTTGTTTTCTTATTACTCTATTCGTATAAATGTTTCTTTTTGGGTTTGTCTTATTAGGTCTCAGGAACAGAGGAAAATGATCTTATATATCAGTTTTAATGATACATAAGATATTTTATTAAAAATATCAGTTGCTATAATAATATATGTATTAAAGTTCAGATTTATTGTTTATTGTTACTCTATTGGGTTGATTCAATAAAAAAACTGACCCTGTTTCAAAAATTGCATCATAAGAATTTTTGATTTTATCGTCGTCATTAAAGAGGAAGTACATATTTAATCGTACGGCTATATAAAGCGAAAGGAGAGCAAATTTTTAATAAATACTGAGAGAAGCCAAAAGGCCGGTATTGTTTTATTACAGCACATAAGCATAACCAAATAAAATAAATCATTTAAAAAAAGATAATCAAAAGCAAAAAAAAAAAAAAATTGATCAGAAAAGAACAGCATCGCTAATAAGTTCTCTTCATCTATTTTGTCGAATGATACTGATAATAAGAAATTATTGTTAAAAATTTCAAACCAGGTTTAAATCAATAAAGTTTTTTAGGTCACAAAATGGAACATTAAAAACATTAAGTATTAAAATTACCATTGTAATCAAAACATCTACTTTACTTAAAGGTTTTAATAACTTTATGCACCGTTTAGAAATAAAGTATTTTTTACCGATTTTTAGAAGATGCGGAAACATTTTCTAACAAAATATTTCCTTAACATATATTGGATTTGAAAAACAAAATTTTTTATAAATCTTCAAAAATTACAAGCCAAATTTTAAATAAAAGCTTTTCTTTAGTCAAATAAAAGCTTTTCATTAGTCAAATGAAAGCCTTTTTTTTAGTAAAATAAATGCTTTTCCTTAGATATATCGCTGATTTCTCATACCACATTTATAACATTGTTACAGAATTAATTTGTATTACATGCTTTTGATTGTTCTGAAAAGCCATTCTAAATTAAACATATTTAGAATATTAGAAAGCGTCTTATATAGAATGTTAGAAAAACATATCTAGAATGTTGAATAGCTAGAAAAATTAGGTTGAAATAAAAAAGATGATGGCGCTAACATTATGCTTGAAAGGGATTTAATTAGGCTAAAATTTTCTCAATCTATAGATTTTTGATAAATGAGCATTGCAGTTTGCTATGTTCATTTATGAATATGTTTTTTTAGGTTTAACATTGACTTAAAGTATTTTAAATAATGTTGTTTTAAATTGGTTGTTGATTTATTATGCTAGGGATGAAAGGTTAAAACCTTTCATCCCTAGCATGTTAAGTTTTCAAGCAAAATTTTAAAAATAAGTCTCTTAAAACTCTTTGTCTTAATGTAGATGTCTAAACAAGATGGAATAGCACTTGTTTAATGCTTAAAAGTATAAACAAATAAGTAATTCCTATTAAGCCATTCCTAGCGGAACTTGTCAGAATTTCTAAATTTCCACTTGTGAATCGAAATTGATATTAAACAGTATTAAATTTCTAAATTTTTTTTCAACCAAAAAAAGAAATAAGGTCGAAAAAATACCTTTGTTATTTCTTATACCAAATATGTGCGCATCGAAGAAATTTATATTAAAATGTTGATTTAAACCTTTAAAAAATAGTTCTGTTATGATTTCTTACATAAGTCGGTTTTTCTTTGAAACAAATAGTGTAAAGTCTTTGCATATCATGAGAAATAGATACTAAAAATGGATAGATATAAAAATTAATAAATAAATACTGGATATTAAATGAAAGTTTATGCTTCGAAAAACCTTTATTTTTTTCTAAAAAAGTACGTTTTAGTGTGAATGAGAATCATAGCATTTATGTCTAAAAAAATACAAAGAATTATTTTAAGCATATCTTAAAATCTAAAAAAAATTAAAAATGCATCTTCTGAAATAGACACCGTTTAAAAGTAAACAAGTTCCTCATTTAAAAACATTTATAAATCACATAAACACTGCAGCTTCATTTGTTTTTTTTTATGTAATATTATTAACTTTTTTTTTAGTCTTTTTGAAATTGTATTTATTTTAATATTACCAATACTTAGAAAAGTTTTGAACTTGAAGAGAAACACAAAATCAAAGTTGGTTTAAAAGATAATTTATATCAACGTTTAGCAAAAACAGTTTATGTGACTTGCAGGATAAAGTTTGCATTGAAAAAACACTAACTAGCTTGTGATCGCTAAGCAAATACAGTGTAAATATAGTGTCCATCAAAGCGGGTCAATTCCAATTTTCACTGATATAACAGAGCTGACAGTTCATGTTATAAAATTATTTATAACAAGTTAAATAACAACCCTCTTATTAATTTCTTTACTTCTTGGATTATCATTTACTTCTGGGATTATCATTTCTCATCTTTTTGGATTATCATTTACTACTGACATATATATACAATATACTGCAAAGTTAACACCTGCTAAGGTAGATATGCAATGCAAAGACATCGCAAATGGCTGAAGCATTTAACTAACGGTGAACAGGAAAAAAAGAGTAAGGGAAAAGTGAAGAAAACTTTTTAATTATAAAAAAAATTAGTTAGAAATAATGTAAAAAAAAAAAAAAAATTGAAGGGTATAAATTAAAAGATTGAAGAAAAAATAAAACAAGAAAATGGATAGAAAGTAAAAAACAACTAACAGATTTAATCAAAAAAAAAAAAAAAATCAATTAGCAGCAAAGTACCAATTTAAAAAAAAATATTTCGAAAAACGTGCAAAATAATAATTAAAAGAATAATTAAAACGTAAAAAATCGCAACCAAATTTTTCTACACCTTTTTTTTTGTGGCAAGAATGTGATATTTGTTGTATTATTATTTTTTATTATTATGTTAATTATTATTTAACATTATATTACCATTAATTATTTTTATTAAATATTGTATTTGTTAAATATATAACCATTTTGTGCATGCATATAGTTTTGTAGTTTTTGTGTTTCACTTTTCGTTTGCGTTAAGTTTGTTATTATTTGTGCTAATTATTTTTATTGTTGTTTTCTGTTTTACTATTTTACCAAATTTTCAACACCTTTATTTCGCAAAAAATAACTTAAGTTTGTCCTTATTTTTTAATTTAATTTAATTTTGTAGAAATATTTGTGTTTGCCTTTTTGTTTTGTAGTTTTTGTGTTTCATCTTGTAGTTTTTGTATTTTGCCTTTTCGTTTGTATAAGTTTTGTTTTTTATTTGTTCTGTTTTGCTAATTATTTTTATGTTTGTTTGCTGTTGTTATTGAGTGTTTTTATATTTTTTGTCTTATTATTTAACTTATTTTAGCTGTTATTCGTTGTTATCATTATTATTATTTTTTTTTAGCGATTTTTGGTTCATATTTGTTTTTTTTATTATTATTTTATTATTATACTAGTTGTTATAATTAATTGGTGTCACTCATTTTGATCATAAGTGACATTTATGTCATCATATTATTTGTATTATTATAAATATTATTATTATTTTTTAATTATTATTGTTATAGTTATTTGGTGTCACTCCATTGATCAGGCTTCTGTTTGAGTGACACCTTCCTTTTCAAACAATTATTTATATTTATTTTTATTAGTTATATTTTATTATAACTATACTGTTTGTCTTATTAACGATCATATTATTATTATTATTATTGTTGTTGTTGTTGTTGTTGTTGTTGTTGTTGTTGTTGTTGTTGTTGTTGTTGTTGTTTTTGTTGTTTAGGTTATCTTTAGGGTGCTTGCCTTTTCTTTCTCCCGATTTAATTATAAACATTTCATTAAACCCTGTATGGAATATTGTTTTCATATTTAGACTGATTTATCTATGATAAATCAGCCTAGCCACTGTCTAGAAGAGAAAGATCCTCTTTCTTTTCTAGACAATGCCAAAAATTGTAAATATAGTTTGACCTTATTTATTTGACAAGAATACTGAACAAACAGTATTTAGTATTTTAGGCATCACACAGCTTTAATAATTCGGAAAACCAAGTTCTTTGACTATCTTTGCATTAGCAAAAAGAGCATTAGCATTGTAAGATTAAAATCAATCAGCTTCAAAATTTAAATCAAGGACAAAACATAATACTAATTGTATATTGTTTTTAGATATACATTGTATTTTTATTAGAATTTACCTTAGAGTAAGACATAATTAAACTATATTTATCTTAGACATAATTAAACTATATTTATCTTAAGACCTAACTATTAATTAGTTTTTGTTGAACTTCTGAGTATTTATTGAGAATATATGAGTATTTATACTGGAATACTTTAAAAATAAATAGACCAAATAAATATTATTGGTGCAGTTTTACTTACATTTAGATAAAAGTTTGTAGCCTTTTCTTACTACTTTAAGTTCTAAAAGTTTAGAAATTTTAAACTATGTACATAATATTAAATTGTTGTGTAAATAGGAAAGTTCATTTGGAATATAATCTTACCTTTAAAACAATAATAACTATAGTGCTTTACTTTTTCATTGCAATTCCACCTATTGTTAGAACATGGTTACCAACTTGCTAGATATTGTTTAAAAAATAAAGTTAAAAATAATGAAAATATTCAAATAATAGTTCAAAAACTATAACTATTTAAATATTTTAATTATTGTTACTTTTGTTAGTTTAAATCTAAATCAATATCATTAAACTTAAATTTTTTTCTCATTGTATTTATTAAATTTTTATTTTTTTTAAACACAGAGGGATCAGGGATAAGGAATATTGAACTTATACACAGAACTTATGCATCAGGGATTACTATTAATGATATAAATTTGTTGCTAATTGTTTTTATTAAACTTTTTTATTTGATTTTATTATTATTATTATTATTATTATTATTATTATGTCCAGGTTGTTAATCTAGAGTAGCTATTACCTTTGAGAGATGACACTCAGAAATTAGAATAAGATTTGTTATAACTTTAAAGTTATTCAGAAATTAAATAGATTTGTTATAACTTCTTTGGTTTTTATAAGGTTCTAGTTTCAAATTTAAAAATTTAAACTATTATATTCAAAACTCTTATAAACAAATGTGCAATAAAAATTGTTTACAAAAAAATTTCATTATTATGTTTGAAATATTGATGATATTGGGGATCCGTTAAATGTTTAAGGCACCTTAAATGACTAATAAAGCAAATTTCAAATCATGAAAATTTACAAAATTAAAATCATATTTTAACAATAAAAACCTAAAACAAAACAATAGAAGTATTAGTATAGTAATAAAAGGTAGATTTAAAAATATTGAAAAGTATACATGAATTGAAACCAGTAAATTTTAAAATACTTTTAACAAATTTTTTTGGTTTTTTTATTCCTTGAATAGGTTCGAGGTAATATTTTTGACATTTTGAGTCTAATGGTTAAAAATCTAACAGCGATTTTTTTATCGATTGAAAAACATGTAAGTCCTCATAAAAATGATCAACATGTAAGTCTTCATAAAAATGATAAACATATAAGTCATCATAAAAATGATGCGACTACATTTAAATCAGTGAATTTATGTACGGACCTTGCACCTATTTAATAACAGGTAAAATTTTACAAGAAACACATTTATATATCATTTCACATTTGCTTTAACACATACATTATTTTCTTCCATTTTTTAGATGAATAACAGGTAAAACTAATCACCTAGATAAACGTTATTGAGATTTTCATAGGTGAAAAATCTTTTCTTTGAGTAGATTTTGATAACTTCTATATAATCCGAAAAGAACTAAAATAAAATAAATTTTCTGTAACAGAGTTGTAATGGTGAACTTACTTTATCATGTAATTGTAAATTTACTTTATCATATAATGGTAAATTTACTTTATCACGTAAGGTAAAATTTCTTTATCATGTAATGGTAAATTTACTTTATCTTGTAATGGTAAATTTACTTTATCATGTCACGGTAAATTTACTTTATCTTGTAATGATCATGTTTGAAAACCTTGTGAGCTTCTCTATATAATAAAAGAAAAAGACACAATTTTTTTTTGTTTGTATTTACTGGAGTCATGACCTTCATATTTTTGAGAATTTTTTCTAGACTTTAATTTTTCTTCAATTAAAAAATGTTTAATTAATCGAGTATTTTTTTTGAGACTGACTTGATAAGCAACGTGACCAGCGCTTCGTTGCGTTTTGCAAGATTTTTTGGCAATGTTTTTGAATTTCTTCATCTAATCTGATTATTCGGGTAATGCACAAAAATCATTATTTGTTCAGAGGTTCTATTTCAGAGTCAATAATTTTAACTTTTTTCTTTAGTTTCTTTTTTCAAGCTCTTATTTAAGTCGTTAAATGTAGGCATTATTTAGCTGTAAATTATCATTTTACTTGGTTCTGGATCATACTGTCATTAAATATTCTGAATCTTTTTAATATATTTTAGAATTTTTTGCTTTTTAAAGATCATTTATAAACTTTCGCTCAAAACACCCGTCAAATAATTTAATTTAACTTATCGAAATACAAACAGTAATAAAAGAAATCCTTAGAGATTTGAGTTATTAACATATTATTTTTTTACAAACAACTAAATGAAATTCTGATTAAATAAAATATGTTAAAAACAGTTACTTATTATATAAAGACCTGTCAAAGTATCATTGAACTCAAAGTTTTTAGAATTAAATACTAACAACTTAACAGTACGTTACGACAGTTGGTTCAGTGTTCTAGGAATATCTAGCTTCATCGAAGTTTTAAATTTTCGTTTAAATTTATTTATTGTTGTGTATTTTTTCTTTTTTCTAATGTGTTTTTTTTGTTATATTTTCTTAATACATATGTTTGATAAATTCTAGGCTGAAAAATGGTGTCCGTTATAAAATGGAGAACTAAAAGAAACGTTATTTTTAATGCGTATTTTTCATTGCCATTTACTCGAAAGATAACCTATATATTTTTGCATTTATTTACATTGTTTTTTGTTTGATTTATTTTTATGAATAATGAGAAACTACATTTTTAATTTTACTCTTTATGAAAAAAACTTTAAAAAATTAAATTTCTTTCTTTATATTGTTAAAAGTGAACTTGTTACGTTGTTTAACTTGATCTCTAAAGTTATGATTAATAAGTTGTTTTAATGTAATGCTTGTCCAGTAATTTATAAAAAAAACTAAACTGGTAGTCTGCAACGAATACTCAATAGTTAATGTGTAACCAATACTAAAGTATTATTTTTTAACTAATACGAAACGTGTAATATAAAGTCTGCAGCTGATTTTCAAATGTTATTTGTCGCTTATTTGGAACGGTAAAACTATATCTTAATTAGAATGTGTAATCTATTACTAATGTGAAGTGGTAAAGTTCGGTAAAATGAAATGCGTAAGCTCTAACAATATGTTGTAGATTACAAAATTGAAAAGTATTTTTAGGGTATGCTATTAACATTCAACGAAAAATACTTTTTAATTTTCTTTAATATGCGCTTGTACTTATTTAGTGCACTTTTAAGTTTCTAAAAATTAACTAGATGAAAATGAAAATTTTGTCTAATATTTTAGTGTTTAAAATTTATTGCCGTAAACTCTATTAAAATTTCCTCGTTGTGAAGATGATTGCGACTGCATGGCAATAACGTTTGAACAGTAAATTTTTTAGATGAGTTTTAACATCTGTCAGTGCAGACAAATTGAGGTTAGTTAATTAATATAAAAAATACATCATCTCCATATAGTATGTTAGCGGAGCACAAATTACTTGGTCTTTTAATTGGAAGGATCTTTTTAAGGGCGGAGCCCGATCAACAGCTCTACCTGTCCCATTTCCAGGAAACCCTAAAGCAAAACTTAAAATGTACTTCTTTCACAGAATGAAGATTTTTGTTAACTATTTTTTACAAAAATTAAATTTAAAATAAAATATAATAAAAAAGTTACAATGAAGAAAACCAGTGTTATTAAAACAGCGGAAATCTCTCGTCTTCTTTCTTCTTATGCAGCAATTAGTGACTGTCTGCCAAAAGAATTTTTAAAGCAAATTGTTCTGATTTCTGCCTTCAGTAGTTTTCTTCTCCCAATTGATGCCGCAGCGAGAGTTTTTTGGAGGCCCACGCCTAATTAAAACAGAAGCCTTAAGTGGCTGCCTCTTTATGAAATTTTTCTCCTTACCTAAAAACCTAACATGAAAAACATTTTCACGTTAGGTTTTTAGTTAACACGCAATCTTTGTGAAAAATGAGCTTTATTGAATATTTTGAACACTTTTTTCTCTTATCTTATTGTTTCATTTTGTTTTTATGTCTTTGAATCAATCAATTTTTAGTATTGGATGCAATATATTTATCATTCTAATTGAATTTATACATTCTGATTTTAATTTGACACATAGCTATTTAAGTACCGCAGCTTGCAGCTATCATTATTGCTACAGTATATTGTTAACAACATTTAGAAGCAATTTAGCTGGCAACAACATAAAGCTAAATCTGTAGCTAGTCGATTGCTACAAACCGCGTCTTTGTAAATGACGATTTTATGGTATATACAGATTATAGGTATGTTGCCAGCTACAACATAACGACAAATTTAAAGCTAAGCAATAAATTCATATTGTAACTTTTTAGATAGCAGTATTGTTACGTAAATCAATAGCTACGGTAAGGTTGCCAGCTATAATAAGGTTGCCATTGTTTTACCGGCGCTTAAATTGAAGTTTTGTTGTATTAGTAACTAATACTACAAAAATTTTACTTATGCTAATTTTAGTTAAAATATAAAACATTTTTACCAAATTTTGTTTTTGCTATATTGAACTAAGAGATCAATTGTTTTTTTTGTGATGAAACTGGATTCTAGCAACAGTTATCCTGAGTTGATATGTTAATAAAGTTTTCTATTTTTGGAGTTTAATGCTAAGGTTAAGAACGAGGCTATTTTTTCTTATTGAAATAGTAACATTTGACCAATTGCTTATGTGCAAAATATGGAATTCCTAAATCAACAATAAAAAAACATTTAATTCATCAAAATACGTTTGCAAAAGAATCAAAAATGTTTGTTAGGTAGGTGAAGTTATCTTCTGGTAAGGAAGTAACTAACCTCCTGAAGTTGAGAAAGGGTTAGTTGAACATGTTTTGAAACTGTAATCTTGTATGTTTAGAATAAAAGTGCAGGTTTTAATCGAAAACAATTTGCAATATTTAGTAAAAATAAAGATTTTGTGTATAAATAATGTTTTGTTATTAATATAGTTAGCATTAAAACCCATCCTTTTCTTAAAAAAACTCTAGTTACAACATTAGCAAGATAAACCCTTAATATAAAAGTTATACTTTATTTGATGATACCTGTCTTCACTCTACTCCAAGAAAGGTTTATAGTTGCGTAGTTTTTTAAATTCAAATTTTTTTGATTTTATTCAACAAATAAGTTTTGAAGGTTTTTAAAAACAATTATTAAAACATTGCTTAAAAATAATTTTAAAATATTGCTATGGCACAGAAAAAGATAAAAGGTAAAGATATAAAATCATACATATTACTTTAAAATTTACAATTACTATTACTTTAAAATTTACAATTGTATAAGTACAAATATAAAGTATTTACCTGAACATACAACATTAAAGTGCTCCATAAAAACATACCAATAAGCTAAAATTAGGCTAGAGAACCACGCAAGAGTATCTCTTTAAAATTTAAGATTTTATGTCAATGCTTTTGAACTGTTTGCAATAGGTATTGTCTCTGTATTGGGTCCTTTGTATTTGTTATAGCAAAGTCTGTGATGACATTTACTGCTCTTTCAGCCATTTATTCAACGACTCTGCAATTATGAACTGATATGGCAGCTTTATAACAAACGGCATCATGCACCTATTTTGTTGCTGGCATGTTTATCCAACTGTTGTTGACATGAAAGAGCCTAAACAGCTGCAAAGACCTTGCACAAATCAAAAATGACAGCTGTGTTGCTGAAGAAGTCGTCAGTTGTGGAAATATTTAAATTTCCTTTAGAAGACAACTAGTAGCATTGTATTTAAGCTTTAGAAACTGCTGAATGATTTACTTCTTTTTAAAGTCTAACAAGAGTGTGGAGAAATACTGAATTGGAGCTTCTGCGATGTAAGGCAAACAGTGCCATCTATTCAGTGAGATGTCACAAGTGTCTGCTTTGTGCTTTCAGAGCCTTTTGTACCACGGTTGGATGGATAAAAAAAGTTTTAAGAGATCATGCACTCATTTTCTCTGTAAGCTGGCAGCCCTACTAGGAGAACGACAAGTCTCCAAGCACAATTTTCCCGTACCAGTGAAGTGTAACGTACTTCGGTCTAGTGAATACTGCTTTTAATAGATGTATAATTGGAGTTTGAACTCAGCTTGGGTTACAAGAATGCGCAAAATAAACAGCGACTACTATCGGGGGTTTGAGACCACCTTGGGCTACAATTGTGCTCAAAGTAAACAGCGACTAATATTGGGGGTTTAAGTCCACCTTGGGCTACAAGTGTGTGCAACCTAAACAGCAACTACTATCAACATTTTTTACTTTGTGTAATAAGCTTGCGCAAAGTAAAAAGCGACTACTATTGACATGTTTTTTACTCTAGGTTGCAGGCGTGCACAAGTCAAAAAAGTGGCTACTATGGAGTTTAGTGCTCAACGTAATAGTTGCGCACTGTTTTTTACTATAGTCCTAAAAATATTTCTTTGAACCGTTTTATCAAGCGCCCATTCCAAAGAATGTTTTAGAGTTTTGTTTGACTTTGAACATACTTAAAATGGACAAGAAATTATAATCAGTGTACTGAAGACCCAATGAATACTGGCATGAGTTTCTGCTATTAAAAAACTCGCAACAACCGCCAAGGTTTCTGAAAAGGCCGCTGGAGAATGGTTAAGAAAACAGGCTGTGTGACAAAATTATTTAGCAGCTTCAAGCTACATACCAAGACCAACTATAATTGAAAGCAGTCCTAATACGATCCATCAGGCATACTTATTTTATTTGCCATATGACAAAGTTGACCAACGAACTTACAAATATGCTCTATATGTTGTCAACGTAGCGAGTCGCTATAGGGAAGCTAAGCCTCTCACAAGCAAGACGGCAGCTGAAGTTGCAGATTTCTTAACTCGAATATACAATCGCGGTCCACTAACTTGGCTGCAATTACTTTAGGTGGATCCCGGCCGCGAATTTATGGGAGCAACGACTCAAATTCTAACAAAGAATAATATTTAGGTGCGAAGAGGCGCAACTGCAAACCATAGTAAGAAAAGAATCGTTGAGCGTTTTAATCGTACTTTAGCAGAAAGGCTATTCAACGCACAATATTCTTAAGAAATGTTTATGACACCACATGGTTCTTCTGAGAGATAAGTTAAATGGGTAAAGTCATTACCATCAGTGTTTAGTAGCTCTCAATAATAAGACAACACGGCTGATAAGTAAAAACCTAAAGACGCTATCATATCTGCAAAATTTCTTCACATCCCATCATAGCCAGCCGGGAGAGTTATCGGTTTTAAAGAGCCATTATTATCTACCGGTGCTCTTGTTTGATACCTGTATGCGCCAGGCGAGTTGAAAGGTGGACGTCGACAAGCTACAGATCCAATATGGTCAATGACTACGCACACTATCGATTCTGTAATGCGACAGAACTCTTTATCATCTTATGGACGGTCCTGAACAACGTATTGTTCACGAGGAGCTATTTATTGTTTCAGATGGAACTGAGTTACCAGCAGATAGAACCACTAAGTAATCAAGCTGCTGCGTAGTGGCCGTAAGCTAGGGTAGTAATAGCATCTGGATGGATCCATTTTTTCGTGTCGAGTGGGGATAAAGATGTTTTGATTTGCTCATAAACTTCTATTTGATGTTCTTTACTATTTATTCGAATCTGTGTATGCTTCATTTCTTTTTGATTTTCGAGACGCTGCTTGTAGGACTCATGCTTAAGGTTTTTTTTGACAACACTTCAATTCTGCGATGAGGCACCCATTACACTCATCCTTAAATTTGCCCGACAACCTTTTTATTTAGTCGGTCGAAGCATGGGTGATCTTTAGGGTACCCACTAAAGTCATAAAGATTTGGGTTATTACGCATATCTTTATAGATGTCTTAAGTTTCTACCTCAAAGAGAAGAAAATCCATATCAGTGTATAGCAGCTGAGTTCTCTCACCATATTTAGTCTTAATTTGGTTGTACCAAAAGTCATACATGAAGTGCTTACTGTTATCAAGGAAAACCTGCCCGACATGTATTGGGCGGTTTAGATTTAATTTCGGTTTAGTGCTATGTATAACAGCTAGATT